TCTCTCGCACCTACACCGGCCGCGCCATGAGTGCGAGAGGGACAGAGCGACTCTCGGAATGAGTCTGCGGTGGCCCTGGCCCGCTGGCCTTGCTCCATGCATATGCTGCGGGCATCGCGGCGGACTGCAGGGCGCAGCTCGGGGCGCATCGATATGGCAGATGTGGCGGCGCGTGTCGCCTGCACTGCCTAGCCTGCCTAGCCTCCCCGACGGCCCTGGCCCCGCCATCTGCTTCAATGTCCCTGCGATTGGACGCCGCCGGTGGCTGCTCACAGTGTACCCCGATGGCATCTCCGCGTGCGGTACCGCGCCGCAGTCATTACTGGCCACGCTGCCCAGTGCTTTTTGTGTCGTCCCGCGCGGTGCCGCGCAGTCCCGGGCCTCCTTTGCCACCACCGCGGCGCACCGCCTTGCAGTGTGCCTCGCAGTGCCTCGCAGTGCCTCGCAGCCACGGCGTCGAGATAAAAGAATGAAACGAAACGGCCTATTTTGAGTCCCTTCTCTCCTCTCGGCCCTTTCCCGTAACAACGTGTACGTCCGCCCGGTTAATTAAAAAATATCTGCCGGTGCCATTTTTTCCCCCTCTTTCTTTTTTTACTACTTGAGGGAGCCGCGCGCTCACACCGATGCCATTCAAAAAGGAGGGGCAGTGCAGGGCCCGGCGGGGCCCGGCGGGGCCCCTGGGAACGTGTGGCGGGCTGCCGCGGCGTGCCGTGCCGTACCGCGCCTTTCGCCTCGAGCCCTCGGCGGGGCGGGGCGGGGCGGGGCGGGGCGGGGCGGGGCGGGGCGGGCGGGGCGGGGCAGTTATGGAAGCAATAAGTGGCTGCCGGCGGTACGGTATTGTTTCAAGTGAGTGTCACGCTCTGTAGCCGTGTGACTGTGGGGCTGTGTGGCTGTGTGGCGGCCCACTCCTTGCAGGACATCCTGCGGGTCCTGCGGGCCCTGCTGGTCCTGCCGGGGCAAAGTGAGTGCGCGGCAGCTGTGCGGGGACTCAGGGCGGCTGGCGCGCTGGCGGGGCTGTCTGGCGACCGGCAGGGCAGGCCGGGCAGGCAGGGCTCAGCGAGGGCAATTTGTTGGCGAGCGGAGCGGAGCCAGGCGGAGCCGAGCCACCCCTCGACTTGCAGCACTGAATGGACTGGCCGGCGACACTGGCGACACCAGACCCCAGCCGGCAGACTGATGCCGAGAGCCGTTTTCGTCGCTCTGTCTCTCTCGCAGCGATACGCGATGAGTGCGAGAGAGACAGAGCGACGAGAGCGACTCTCGGAGGGTAGCCGGGGCCATGTGGAGGGAGAGGGTCCTTGCCCCCTGCAGGGGCATGCCCAGGGTGGCCCTGAGCCCTCGGGGGGACTGCTCTGCTAGCCCAGAGGGCAGGACGTTTTGACAGTCCGAGCGCATCGTCTGGACAGTCTCCCTGGATAGGCCTTCGGGCGGGCGGGCACTAAAACTGTCAGAAAGAATTTGCGGATAGCTTAATCGCGCAGCCTACGGACGTGGGCCTTCACCAAGATCTCCGGGTCCGGGTTATCACAGTGGGCCGTACTCCCGTTGTTCCCAGTCTCATCTCCTTTCTCTTTCCGCGTTGCATCAGTCTCACTCTCGCGGTGCCCCCTGTGGCCCCCATGCCCCCGGCCGCCACCGCCCAGTGCGGGTTGATGCAATCAAGTGTCCCGTTAAGTAAAGAGTGCGTGCGCCTCTATTATGCAGATTAAAGCGCGGTGGCCGAGCGGCCCCACCGATGGGCCCCGACAGGGGCTGGCCAATGGGCCCCGGCCGCCCCGGCCCCACCCCCGACTAATTCGCCCGGAGTATTATTGGCTCTGGCCTCTCGCCACGGGAAGCGCTCCTATCAACACGCGGCGCCGATCTGTCTCGCTCCAAGAACAGCAATACATCATTCCGAGGCAGCAACAACAAAATAACAACAAAACTTTTTTTTTTTTTTTGCAATTTAGTACCGCTGCTGCGTTGCCGGTCGCAGGTTTCTCGATTTCGGGAAATGAGGCCTGCTAGTCCGGCACCGTAACGCCTAGATGCGGGCGGGGCGGGCGGGGCGGGGGGCGGGGCGGGGCGGGGCGGGGCGGGGCGGGGCGGGGCGGGGCGGCCGGCAGCGGACAGTGGTCGTCGCGGACACGGCCGGTCCATGGCAGGTGGCTTCGGACAGGTCCTGTCTTCCGCACCATATATAGCGAGCCGAACCAAACGGAGCGGAATCACTTATGCCATTTTCTTACGGCAGCTTCCAGCCAGTGGCGTGCATTTACACGGCGCACTCACACGGATGCATTCTTCTCACGGTGCACTCACGCGGTCGGCGCATTCCACGGCGAACTCTCGCGGGGCGTTCGCGGAGTGCATCCTAGCGCAGTGGGCCAGCAGACCGGTGAGGCGGTCAAAATCCCAGACGCGTTTTGAGCTCCAGAGTCGCTAAATGGGACTCGAATCGAACGTGTGACCCACCAATGGATTGCTCTCCGGACGAGCAATCCATTGGTGGGGTCACACGCTCGGTTCGATTCCTGTTTAGCGACTCTGGAGCTCAAAATGCGTCTAGCGTTTTGGCCGCCTCCATGGCCTTCTGGCCCACTGTGCCTAGCCACGCCCCCTTCTCGCCTTCACGGGGAACTCCTTTCGCCCCGGAATTCGCGGCAACAAGATCGGACTACGTGTGAGTGCCGCGTGCGCACGGCGTCTGGAAGCGAAACAACGAGGAGGCCGAATGAGTCACCGGCTGCTGCGTGCGCCGTGCCGCGCCGTGCCGCGCCGTGCCGTGCGGGTCAGGACGACGTTTCGGCTTTCCTTTGCTCCCTCATTATGCCCCCCCCCCCCGCCCTTTTTTTCGACCGCCGTGTATTGGGATCCGATTGGAATACCAAACCGGGCACCACCGCCATGGCACCGCCTTCCTTCTTAGTTCCGGGCGACAGCGCGAAAATGCGCTCCAGTCCAGTCTGTTTGTTTATTGGGCCGCGCGGGCAGAGGCAGAGAGGGGCGAGGGGGTCGGAAGAAATTGTTGGGTGATTGAAGTTGGGCCGTTTTGACGATGGCAACATTATTAGGACGAGCCGTTTAAGTATTCCTAACTGCGGTTTGCTCTGCCCCGCCCGCCGTGCCCTGCCTGGCCCTGCCCTGCACGGGTGGTCCGCCCAGGTCCGCCTGCTCCTGCCCCTCCCCTCCCCCTCCCCTCCCCCCCCTCCCTTCCCGCTGGCCACTCTTCTTTGTTTTCTCGGCCGCCTTTATTGTGCATGTCTCTATTACCGTCTAATGGTCCGGCCGAGGCCGGCATCGGACCATTGGGCCTTTGGGCCTTTGGGCCTTTGGGCCTTTGGGCCTTTGGGCCTTTGGGCCTTTGGGCCTTTGGGCCTTTGGGCCTTTGGGCCTTTGGGCCTTTGGGCCTTTGGGCCTTTGGGCCTTTTGGCCTTTGCATCGGACAGACGGAAGGACGGGCACCGTTTACAGGCTTTCGTTTTCCCGCGTTACGTAGTTACGCATTGCTTGGGAGCGATAAAGGCTTAACCAATTTGATACATTGATTCCCACGAGGCCAATAATTGCTGTTCATCGCGGAGTGTCGAAAAGGCCTTTTCTCGAACCGCTTCCTCTACGCTCTTCGGTCCACCTGCAATCCGAAGGACCCGCAGGGACTGGCGGTGGGTGACTCACGGGGACGCCGGTAACAAGCGGCGGGGCGGGGCGGGGCGGGGGGGCGGGGCGGGGCGCGCGGCGGCCGGGCAAGAACCACAACACGACGCCGCAACGGAAAATCGCCCAAAATCAGGTCCAAGCAGCACGAAAAAGGAAGAGCACCTCCCTGCAGCAGCGAGGCAGCGGCCCGGTACGCGTGGGGGGCCCACGACCCTTACCCCACCGGGGGCCCCACGCCCCGCCCCGCCGCTCCGGTGGGGCCCCTCAGCGCCCCGCGGCGGCCCGGTCAGTGCTTGCTCGCTTGCTTCGGGTCACTTTGGCCCCAGCCGGCGAGGCGGCGAGGCGCGCGGTCTGCTCGCTGCGCCGTCGGCTTGCGTCCCGTCCCGTCCCTCCAGTCGTCGTCCACGGCCCGTCGGCACGAGCCTGGCCTGGCCTGGCCGGCAAGTCAAGCCTTCTGACGAGAGCCTGCCAAGCGGCGGCCCACCGCAAGCAGCGCGCCCCTGCCGGATGGGCTGCCTACCTGCCGGGCGGCCTGCCTGGACTTGACTGGAGCGAGGCCTGGACAGAGGCCTGGCCGGAGGCCTGGACAGAGGCCTGGGAGCTGGCCGAGTCCTCTCCGCTGGTTGGTCCCCGGTCCCCTTCAGAGTGCCAGACTGACCCACCCAAAAGGAAAGAAAATAGAACTTCCTCGAAATCGACGAGCGATTTGATCCTGCCCGCTTGGCTGCTTCTGCCGCGGAGTTTCCCCCCGCGCTGTCTCTCTCTGCAGAGGGAGCGGCAGAGAGCCGCGTCTATTCGTCCATTCGGCCGAAGCAAACTGAAAAGCGAGCGGGGTGATCACGGCACCGCGAACTGCCGCGCGGCGCGGCGCGGCGCCACCATCGCCCCGGCCGCCGCCTCCGTAAACAAGGGCAATAAACACAATCAATAACTCTTACCGCATCAAAGACCGCCTGCCGTAAACGCGCCGCACTGCGCGGCACTGCGTCGCACCGCGCGCCGGACGGGCGGCGGATCGGCAAAACGCCGCGAAACGCCACCGACGCCGCACGAGAGCGAGGAGTTTTCGGTGCGCTGCCCGGCTGGCCGTGCCCCGTGCCCAACAAACACGAAAGAGTGCTCGTTTTGAGGTCACTGCTACTTCCTATGGGTGAAGATTACGGCAAAGACCGAGTCATTTTCACACTTAACGACTGTCATTATCTGACTATTTTGTGGCCTGACCTGATCTAACCTAACCTAACCAGACCTAACCTCATCTTACCTAACCTCTAGTTGACCAAACATAACCTATCCTATCCTAACCTAACCCAACCTAACCTAACCTAACCTGGCGTTTGTTCTCCCTGTTGCAGTGAAGCCGCCCGAGGTGTGGGGGCTGCGCGACGTGACGGCGCGGACGCGGCGGAGGCTGCGACTCGTCTGCCGGACGACGGGCACCCCGCCGCCCGCCGTGCAGTGGTTCAAGGACGGCGTCAGGGTGGCGGCGTCGGGCCGCGTGCGCCTGCTGCACAGCAAGTGAGTACTGTCCCCTGTCACGGGGAGTGCGCCAAGCAAAAGGAAGGCGGCGGACGGGAATCGAAGCCGCGCCAGGTGGCGTCCTTGCTGAGGACGCCGAGCTCTAACCGACTGCGCCACTGAGAACGATGCATTGCAACAGCCACAGCGCACGCTGGACTTAGTATTTCTGATTGACTTTGAGCCGCCAGTCGTAGCGTACGAGTCTACCCTTTCGCGAGCCACAGTTAGCTTCCATGTGTAAGCAGTGCTGCCCCGCGCCTCTCTCCTCTCTCTCCCTCCGCTTACCTACATACCGACTCACGCACAGGTGCGCGACCACCCCCGCACCGGGCTGCCCCCTCCCCTCCCCCCTCTCCCTCTCCCTCGGTGCCCCGGCTGCCCCGGTCGGCGGGTTCGGCCCGAAATATTCCCTGGGCCAGCCTTGGCCGGCCGGTTGGGTGCGGCGGGGCGGGGCGGGGCGGGGTGCGGCGGGGCGGGCGCGGTGGGGCGCGGTGGTGCTGCGCGAGGACCAACCGGCGCCCGTTTCAACTTTCTTCTGCTTTTCCCCAAAAAAAACGTATAAAATTGAAATTTTTGGTAAATCCATTTTTTGGAGGTTGTTAACCTCCATGGTGAAGAAGAACGCGAACTTGCACCATCGATTTATTTGTCTGCGTGAATTCCAAATACTGCTCTTTCCATTCCATTTTCGGCCAAGTCCTCCTTTGACCTGGGTGGTAACAACGCTCGCGCCGCTTCCTCGTGCAGCCTGCGTGTGTGTTTGTGCGTGCGCGCGTGTGTGTTTGTGTGTGTGTGGGTGTGGGACGGGTGTGCTGCTGGTTCCTAGGCGCCGCGCAGGGGCACTACGATGTACACGGCGGTCAACTGGTCTGCGTTTCGCACATCACACCCTCCCCTCCCCCTAGCCTCCGCATCTCCCCCCTCCCCCTCAATTTATACGCCTTGGCCAAATAAACTTGAGCGTCCGCAAATGAAGGGGCTGCCCCAGGCCGCGCCGCGCCCGCCCTGACCCGCGGCACTAACCCGTGCAACATCGCCGCCGTGCCGCCGCACAGTGGGCCAGAGGGCCGGTGGAGGCGCCCAATACTCTCGACGTGTTTTGCGCCCCAGAGTCGCTGAATGGGACTCGAACCGAGCGTGTGACCCCACCAATGGATTTCTCGTTCGGAGAGCAATCCATTGATGGGGTCTCGCGGCCGGTCCGTGTCCCACTTAGCGACTTTAAAGCTCAAAGCGCGTCTAGAGTTTTGTCCGCCTGCACCGGTCTTCTGGCCCACTGTGCACCGGGGCGGGCCCCCGTCGGCCGTCCCGGCGCAGGCCAGCTGGGCGGGACTGCCTATGCTGGAAGCGGCAGGCGCCAGCCGTCGGACAGTCGCCGCTTCCAGCGTGCGTGTTTTTCCCATGTTCCCAGCTGTGGACACTCGCCGCGTCTCGCGCTGCTGGCAGCCTGCTGCAAGGCCGTCGCGTGCGTGTAGTGTAGGCCCAGAGCAGGCGGCACTGGCCGTGCTGCCGCAGTCCAAGTGATAACTGCTTCCCGTATCTCTGACGTCCGACGATCTCCGCCGAGTCTCTCTGAGTCACCCACCCACCCACGCGTTGAGCCCGACGCGCCCTGACGCACTTCCTCGGGTCCCTTCTGCGGGAGCAATTCGCCCTAACGCACTCTGTTTGCTTGTCCAGGAAGAAGTCCGCGCTGGTGATCGCGAAGGTGCGTCCCTCGGACGGCGGCCGCTACGAGTGCAAGGCGACGTCCGTGATGGGACGCTCCGACAGCGCGTCCGCGGCCGTCACCGTGCAGGCCGACACGCGGCAAGACAACGGTGAGTCCATCTTTCTACAATTTATTCCTCCCACGTGGTCTCACATATAAATTTGTGTTCTTTTGTCCGAAATTTCGCGCCATTTTGTGCGATTCTAGGTGCAAAATTTGTACGAAAAATTTCGCAAAAGAGCCGGCGTTTTGCAAGCCGTTGCATTCTGTTTACGCGGCGGCTTTGGCCCTTTTACTTTTATTCTTAACTTTCGCTCTCGCTTCTCCATTCAATCTGTTACATTGTTGCGCGGAAGGCGCGGAAAGACAAACAAAGTGTGCTGCCAAGGTTTCCCTTCCCCTGGGGGTGGCTGGGCCTCTGGCTGGGCCTCTGGCTGGGCCGGGTAGCTGCTGCTGCTTTGGATGCGCTGCCCCCGGCGCCGCCACAAAGAAAGAAGAAAAAAGAAGCAACAAACATTGGTAACGACAACCAAACCCGTTTTGCTGTTGCAGCCACCACACTGTGGCCGCTGGTCGGTGGACGCTGCCCCTTCGACGCCTACTGTCTCAACGGAGGCACCTGCACCTACTATGACACGGTCGCAGAACTAGTCTGCCAGTACGTAACATTTCTTTTAAAAACTGCGTCGATGGCGCGGATTGTTTGTTTTGATCATAAACAAGGCGGCTCCACGGACCCCTGTTTGATTTAGACTGGTAGGCGGTCTAGAAAATGGAGCAGGGTCGCGGTGGTGGTCCTCTATGCATGCAGAAAGACGACCAATCATGACTGGTCGTTCAACAAGTGTCCCTTTTTGGCGGTGGTTTGAGACGGTGCTCTGATTGTTGCAGGTGCGCGGAGGGCTACAAAGGGCTGCGCTGTGAGAACAAGGACGTGATAAACCGCGGCAGCCTGTACCGGCACCAGTCATACTTCTGTAAACTAGGCATTTCGAATTCCTACTACTGTTAGAGCCATGTTGCTGTCTGCGCCTCGCCCACAGTGTGGGCCCCACACCAAAGATTAGGTTTATGCTGGCCAGGCCCGCTTTGCCGCAACACTGCTGGCTACCCTGCTTAAATACTTATTTATTTAATTCGTAATATGTTCCATTTTGTTTTATATGTTGTACAAAATTAGGCCTTTCCAACTTTTATAAATATTGTTATTATCATTTGTATTATAATATTAATGATAATTATTATTTTTATTTGTGATCTCTTTCGGATAGTGATGATTTCTTGAACGACGCCTAGTTCGTTGTGGGTTCTATGTTCATCGCTCAGTCATCTATAGAGTTTTCAACTGTTTCAACCTTCAGTAAATTTAATGTGATAATAATGCCCCAGCCCAGTCAGCGTTCCTATGTACAAGTGTGTAATCTTAATGAAACACTGAATATATTTTGTTAAAATGTTTAGACATAAGTAGTCAAAGTTTAGAATGATTCCATGTTTATGTAAATCCCTTGTTAAAAGGTCGACGTGGCCGTTGAAACTTCAAATTTCAATCCAGTATTTTCTGCTTCTGTAGTAAGTGGGTTCATTTCCCAGAGTTGGTTCAATGCACTGTGTATTACTTTCCGTAGCGGAATCAGGCGCCATTTGATTCTAAGCAAAATCGTCGAAATTTCGTACTCTGACTGAGGTGGGTTTTCTTTGCCAAACGAAACGCCATGGAACTCACGATGAAAGAAAACAGACAGCACTAAGAGCGCCAAACAGCATGGTTATTATTGTTACACTGAGAGAAAATAAGACTTACTATGTGGAACGGAAACTTGTGGTGACTGTGAGCGCCACGTGCGCCGCCTCGGTGCCTCGGTGCGACGGCGCCCGGGCGGCGGCGGCACGGTGGCATGTCGGTATGGTGCGAGACTTGTTCTTGATGACTGTCGGGTGGGAGGGGAGGGGAGGGGCGGGGGGCTGGGTCTTTGAAAATAAAAAAATAAAACGCTAACCTCGAATGAAAAATGAATGAGAAAGCAATGTTAAAGTTGTCGAATGTGATGTTTGTAAATAGAAAGATGTGAGTGAGAAGAATGTGCATTTACCAAAATAAATCAGGTACAAACTATCCTGCAAACGATACGTCTATTTTTGCTGACCACCTGCCCCGCCATATCTAACCCCCTCGACGGGCACTCGCTTCCTGCAGCCCCGCAGCCCCAAGACAAATTTCTAATCGTCGGCTCGAGTAACGCTCGACTGTTTTTGGAGCCCTTAAAATGTCACGGGCCGCTGCGCGACGCTGCGGCGGCGTTTTCGTGCAACTCACGGGTCTGCAGACTTGCAGTGGAGGGCTGCCAGTGCCGTGGCTCCGCAGAGGCCCGGGCCAGGGGCGCGCTATCAATCAAGGAAAGGGCACTTCCTGAGGCTGACGCGCTGACGCAGGCTGACGCGCTGACGAGGCGGATCGGGCGCACCTACACCAGCAACAGGGGATGGCGGTAGTCAGGACCAGGCGCCACCCACGCAAGGACTGACCTCATGCTGTCGCTGTCTCTCTCGCACTCGTGCGGAGCCGCAGGGCTGCGAGAGAGACAGAGCATCGAAGCACTGCTCGGCAGGCGCCACCCACGCAAGGGCTGTTCGGCGCCAACGATGGCTGGGCCAGCGGCGTGGCGGCAACGGCGGGGAACACGGTGAAAAACGACCGATAAACTCAATGCAACATTTCTCTTTATTCATGAAATTAGCGGTAACAACATAAATGGCGTGGGTTTTGTTTGATCCAACTGTGTTTTTATCTGTGTGGGGGATTGTCGCTGTGCTGGATTCACTTGCTGGGGGCGGGGGCGGCGGTGGCCATCATCTTGATGTGGTCGGCGTAGAACTGAAACGAGAAAAAAAAATCCGATGTAGTTTGAAGTCTCCAAGAGCCACGCGTCGCTAGCCGGGGCGGCACTCACATCGGGGCTCTTGTCGCGCATGCACATCTGGTTGCGGTACGCCAGGTCGCACAGATCGCCGCCTTGCTCTGCGGGCAAAAAAGAAAAATAAAGCTGCTGACTTTCGTCGTGCGCCCTTTTAGTCAAAGCAATTACCGATCATCGCGCACTCCCTGGCGATGGCGTGCTGCTCGGCCGGCAGGGAGGCGATCATGTTCTCCACGTTGAAGTGGCCCGAGTTGGTCATCTGGAAGGGCGGAGCGGTTAGTTTGATTCAGTCAACCAACCAACACCCAGGAGGGTTACTTCAGTGGGCCTCCCTCTTGTGGTAACCTAACCTAACCTAACCTAACCGGCGCGACACTCTAGGTCGATGGTCACTCACCATGTTGGCCTTCATCAGGACGCACTTCATTTGACACTGGAAAGAATAGAGACGTCGTGACAATAAAAATGTTCGAGTACACCAGAAGTAGGGAGAGGGGCTGCAAAAATCGTTACCTTCGTGTTTTCGCTGGCGTCCCCGCCGTCAGCCCACGATAAGACGTCGTCTGAAATCGATGGAAAAGATCAGCACGGAAAAAGGAAAAACGAGGCGCGGTGGAGAGGGCAGCAACTTCCCACACTGTATACGCACCCATGGAGGTCCCGGTCTCCGTCATGCACATCTCCATGATCTCGTGCATGTCGGGCATCTGCGTGGCCGCGGTGGACGCGGTGGCCGCCCCAAACACCTGCAACACAGCCAGCATTGTTTTCTCGGGGTTTTCAAGTTTCAGTCGGCAACCTTATGGCACTCGGGCGCCAGGAGCGACGAGAGACGGCGCTTGCGGTGCACCAGGACCCACCTGCTGGCCGCAGAGCACGGCGAGGAGGACGACGGCGAGCATGGCGCTGTTTGTTTCGGTTGCGACGGTAGCGAAGGACTGCAATGCACCGCGCCGCCGAACGTCGCCTTTATACCGGCGGCTGGCGTGCGGGTCACGGCGGCCCAACGTCACTGTAAGTGTTCCCTAATAGGGCCAAATGCCGAAACGGCCGAAACGGCGCAATTCGGGCAATTGGCGGGAATATGCAGAGGGGACCAGGAAGTGAGGCGGACGGCTATGGAAATGCAATTGCGCGGCTTCGTTCGAGTTTTCTACCTCCGCGATAAAAATCGGGAAATCTCCACTTAAAAAGAACGAAAGTCATCTCGAAACCAATGTATGCCCAAAGGAAGAAACGCAAAGATAGATTTTAATTTACTCATAGGACACATACAAAAACGTGAATTTGAATTATGTTAATTTTTAATACATTGTGAAAATAACGATGGGCAAATATTTGCAGCCATTTTTCTTGGAGTTTTTTCTTTGCCATTTTGCTTCATGTGTTTCTCGGCTGTTGGAACTGCAGCAGCACGATTAGATATGAAATGACGGAGGATGCCATCTGAAATATTAACATTTAAAAAAAATGAAGTTTGACATAACCGCGAAAGTGTTTTTCGGCCGCACCGAGGTGAAGGTGGCCCTCCGCAGCGTGAAGAATCCGCCCACCGACATCTGCACGTCGGCCCTGGCCGCGGCGTGCGCGAAGAACTTGAGCTGCCGGCGAGAAGACGGACCGGAAATGACAGGGAAACTCGGGCAACAATTAACAGTGTGGGCAACAATGAACAGTATGAACTTGGGCTGGGCGCATGCAGGAGCACGGCACGCACCTCGCGCTCCGTCTGGTCGTCCATCAGCGGGTAGTTGAGCTGCAGCTTGTTGCGGAGCACCTCCTGGAAGCGGAAGTTGACCTGCCGACAACGTGCCGGTGTTACAGTGCGTGGGCGAGCGTGAAGCCTTGGTTGGTGGCGGTGGTGTCTACCTTGTCGGCCGCGCGGTGCGCCGCCTCGCAGATGACCAGCCCGCTCACGTTCCACATGGAGGCCATGAGCCCCGTGGTGAAGACCAGCTGGGCCTCCATGCCGACCAGGATGGCGTACAGGGTCTGCGGGCCGAGCGAGGGCCTTCCTTGTCATTGTGCTCGAGGCGGCATACGATCATGATCATGAGTGGTCTAGCCCTTAGTGGTAATGGTAGTGAGGCGCCTGTCGGATAGGCAGTGCCGCAGGGCTCCAGTGTTGTGCGGGACGGCCTGGCTTGTCGTTCGCAGGCGTCCGGAACAAACTCGCCACAGTGAAGTGCGTCACTGCGGCCAACGCTCGCAGCGAAGTCCCGTTGTTGCGTCACTGCAAGTGTCGAAAAAGGCCGCTTCGGCCGCGTCGATTACTTGGAAGCCGAAGAAGACGCTGGTGGTGATGAGGAGGACCACGTGGAGCAGCAGGGTGGCCGGCATGGTGACGGCGCCCTCCACGGCGGCGCACAGGTCGAGCCAGGACTCGCGGTACTGCCTCAGGCGGTGCGCGTCCAGCTCGCCGCTCGAGATTTCCTGGTGGGGTGGTTGGAGACGTCTCGCCTCGGACATTAAACACTTTAACTCCAACTGGACCCAGACCTACGGCGCTCAGCTCCTGGACCATGGCCTCGGCGAAGTCGGCCAGGCGGAGGAAGAGCGCGGTGAACGACAGCGTGAGGTAGAAGCAGCGCGTGATGTTGTAGGTGCCCGCCAGGAGGTGCCACAGGTCGGAGCCGCGGCCCCCGGCCACCACGAAGAGCCAGCCGTACACGAGCAGGGGGGTGAGGACGAAGGCCGTCGCCAGCACGAGCCACGCGATGCGCCCCGGCCACGGCCCGCACCGCGGCACCAGGAAACCGAAGTCTCTCTGCGGAGCGGAGGCAGTTTGTCAGTTTTTGAAGTTAGCGAGATTGAGAGCAGGATTCCGCCCACCATGAGCGGCGCGAAGAGCTGCTCCAGGCGGCGCCGACCGCTGGCCACCTCCAGCCACAGCAAGGGCTGCAGCAGGTACGTGGCGGTGACGATGATGGAGTCGATGGCCACGTACCGGTCGTGCTCCTTGAGGTACTTGTCGGCCTCCGAGGCCGCCTCGGAGGTCAGCCTGATGTCGGCCAGCTGCAGCAGGCGGTCGCGCACCGTGAGCCAGCACGACCACAGCACCGCGGCCGTCGTCGGCAGCACCCACCACAGCGTGGAGTGCACCGCCACGGCCGGCCGCGCCAGCAGCAGCCTGGCCAGGAACTCGCCGCGCGCGCTGCAACGACAAGACCATGGACAAGACAGACGTGGAGCAGGCCGGGATGGCGCCGCCGCGGCCACCAACCTACCTGCTGCGAGCGGGCAGCGTCCACGCGGGCCTCGGGGCGGCCTTGGCCGGGGCCTTGGTCTTCAGCGACTCCGACACCATGAAGACCCTGCGCAGGTCCACCCTCGGCACCTGCGGCGCGTCTTCGACTGGACAAAATGGTTAGATTGAGATCGGCCCGGCGGCGCCGCGACGGAGATTCGAACCGCGCTCACTCTGCTTCAGACTGACGGGGTAGAAGCCGAAGAAGACGGCCACCGCGGCGATGGGCTGCAGGCCCTCCAGCAGCCCCCGCGCGCCCGGGAGGCTCCACGTCGGCCGGTGCTGCAAAGAGCAGGCAGTGCCTACAGTGTGACAGTAAGCTGCAGCAGGCCTTTCCTGCTCTGAACACCCACTGTTTGGCGGCCTTCCTCTCGCAGGGCGAAGGAGGCCCAAGGCGACGGCAAGGGACGCACTCGCCTGCCCGGGCCGAGGCGACGCTTCGTGGCGCCGACCATGTCTGAGCGATCTGCAGTCCCACAGTGTAGGACCCGGGGGTGATGGTGGCGCTCAGCGGGCCTATGCGCCTCGGCCTACTTCGAGGAGGCCCCTCTCCGTCATGCCCTCCGCCACCGCCAGCACGGCCACCACCACCACGTCCCGCCGCGTCATGTTCGCGGAAAGCCCCGGTCGTTTCCTCGCCAAAGCACCCAGAAACAACCAGAAAGGACCGCCTTGCCTTCCGGGCAGTTCTTGGATTTCCGACGTCATTGCTTCTGACAGGAAAGACTGTGCGTGATCGAATGAATGCAGTGGGGTGGATGGCCCCCGCTACCGCTTCCCCCTCTCCAAATCCCCTTTATGATCTCGATTTACCAGTTAGGCACGATTGCGTGCTCCAGACGCCGTCGCAACAGGCTCGCCCTACAGAAGCAACCCAGGGCCTAGGGCCTAGGCTCTCCATTGAAGTCGAGGCGTTAGTCCAGTTGAAAATTCGCGCTCAATCGACCGTTGTGTTGGTATCGATAGCGTTGCAGGTCGGTGGCGTGGTAGACCTGCTAGCAGACGCTACACAAATCAAAACAATGTGTGTTCGTTCGTGTGTGATGATTTAAATATTGTTTATGTCTTAATAAAAGAAGTGAATTAACCAGTTCACCATGTTGAAGTGTGTTTGCAATAATTTACGCCATGTAGGTTTTAAGAATACAAGGCGGAAATACGCGGACTATAAAATAAAGGTAAACGTCGAAGTCGAGGGAAGTGCATCGTAACCTCTGTCTTAACGTGTGTGCGCCGGTTGTAACATAATTTTTATTTTCAGAGAATCGAGCCTTTTTTAGCTCCTAACTCGGAAATTGAGGAAATCAATTTCGAGACGCAAGAAGAGGCCCTCAAGGATGCCGTTGCTCCTTTGTGGAGAGTCCCATACAGCGAACAATTGGCAATGAAGGATCAGTGGATTTCCTACGCAGTTTCACAGTACTTCTCAGTTATGAATGAACACCTGAATAAAAACCCTAAATTGAAGGTCCCTACGCCCACTATCGCCAAAATTGTTCCCTCTGTTAGTCGTTTGAACTGTAATCAATATAAATGTCAATTCCATACTCACAAGGCTTCTCACTGACATTATTTTTCCTTTGTAGCCCGTTATTCATCATTATAGAAATAAGGATGTATATATGGTGCGGTCTGGTGTTGATGGAAATCCCAAAACAGTTGGCCATATTATTGGCCGGCCCTCACAGGGAAAATATGTTTGTGTGCCTCCTGTAGATATTATAAGTAATCCACGTCACATTGAAGTAGCAAAGGTGCGGAACAGTAAATGTATCTCATGATCTGGTCCATATTATACATAAATAATTACTCAAGCATTCTCTGTTTATTCTCCAGGCTTTTCAAGATTATATTCGCTCTTCCTCACTTCCCGCTTGTCATAACTTTAACGAGGGAGGGAACTGGACTCAACTCCTGGTCCGTAGCAATGCAGCCGGAGAAGTTATGGCATTGGTCAAAATTCATCCACAACAACTTACCCAGGCGGAAATTTCTGATGAGTGTGATAAACTCCGAGAGTTTTTCACTCATGGTCCTGGTTCAGTTTGCCAACTTTCTTCACTTTATTTCCAGTCAAGGTACACTTGTGCTTAAATGTATTGAGAATTTATTGAAGTCAATGCTTCATCTTCTGTTTTACATTCCAGCCCATTTTCTAATGCTTCTGGAAAACTAGCACCATACCAGCTTCTTTCTGGTAGCAAACATCTAGTAGAAAAATTAAGCGGACGGGAGTTCTCCCTTTCACCAAGCTCATTTTTTCAATGCAACATAAAAATGGCTGAAATAATGTATGACAAAATAATGTCTACTGCTGGTTTGTCTCAAGCAACATCTCTTCTTGATCTAGGATGTGGAATAGGTACGAATGTAGAGTTTTAGCATGAGCATATGATAAGGCATAATCAAATGTTTGCTTCTTCACATTGTTTTTTTTTTTTCTTTTACTGAAAGGTACTATTTCAATTCTTGCAACCCCGTTTGTAAGAGGGACAGTTGGGATTGACATGAGTGAGGAGGCTATAGAAGATGCTAAGTATAATGCAGCTTCTAACAGTATTTATTCTGCAAACTTTGTGGCAGGATCTATAGAAAAGGTTTGCTTGGAAAATTTATTTCCTCTTCCTTTTTTTTGGTTGTTGTGCCCTATTTAGTTTCTTAATATTTTATCAATGATATTTTTCAACAGAAAATAAGGCTTGCTCTGAAGTGGTTGGAACCATCTACAGAAATTGTGGCAGTGTTGAATCCTGGTAGATGTGGTGTTGGTAAGTTTAACCTTTTGTGTTTCTTTTGATGGTACATATAATAAATTACTATATTTGATGACTTTTTTCCTCTTTTCCATGTTTAGAAGTGTCTGTGATGAAAGTACTAAGAGAGACACCCCAGATTTCAAAAGTAATATATGTGGCTTGCCAACCTGATCACGAATGGGTCATTCGTAATGTGCTAGCACTGATTAAGCCAGTGAACAAGAAATTGAAGGGGACTCCTTTTAAATTTAGATCTGTTGTTCCTGTTGATATGTTTCCTCAAACAGCACATAGTGAATTGATTATGAAATTTCAAAGATGATAGTTAGAAAAAATTTATGTACGTAATTTGTAGAGGATTTGGTTTTATTTTTATAAATTGTTGAAACACAGCCATGGTTATTTAATAATTAAGTAAGATAAATACTATTATCATCTCTCATCTTCCTCTCTGCCGTCTTCAGTTTGAGTCCCTGGGAGGCCCAACAAGCGCCTGATGTTTTCTTCACAGTCATGGCGTTGTGATGAGTGGTGCAACTGCCAGAGGCAAGAAAATCCTTTGTATCAAAAATAATAAAATTTAATAATTTAATTGATTGTTTTACTAAGAACTTACCTTAAGGATTGGCACAAGATGAGGTGGTGTCCACCAGGAGACTAGAGACCACCAAACTGCATCAGCATCTAAACTGTATAGACACTGGATCAAAGTAACAGCAGCTGCCTGTAAAGCATAGAGTTTTTATAAATTTGAATAAAACCTCCAAATAGAGTTAAGTGAAAATGGAATGTTTACTTGTAAAGGGTGAGGTTGGCAGCAGCTCAAATAAAGTAGGGAAACACTGAGAAGGCCGTGGAAATCCTTTCCTCTAATGGTCAGATGACAAGCTAGTGGACCAAGTCCAGATAACAATGCCAGTTGTGTCTTATACTTTTGAGAGAAGCGGTAAACCGATGCACGATCTTTCAAATTACTATCAGACACTGAGCTTCTTAGGAATTTACAGAATTGAGGGAAAACCTCTCTGAAAGGAAGAAAGATGTTACGGAATCTGGTTCACCGTTTTGTCAGACTGCAGATAAAATAGACACTACTAACTTGATAGTACGAGTCAGAAGGAAGTCCTTTGCAGTTCTGGCCATCGTTTGCAACAATTGGAAAGCAGTGCGAATAATTAGAGGTGACTGATTTGCCTCAAATCTACCGACCAGGGGAGCCCACGTTTGATGGATTAGTGGAAGAAGTGTGTCAGTGAACGGCTCCAGAGCTTGTAGACCAACATCTAAAGTCTTTATTGACAGGAATTGATGGTCGACTATTTGACTGGGTAGGAAATGGAGACACCTTTTCAGGACTAAGACAAGAAGCTTTGCTAATTCTGGAATCTCCTCCTTCTTATCAGAGTCCACATCCATTGCAATATCTGTAGGAAAACAAAAAACAGAGCATTTAACACCTTTGTTTCACGATGACATAAGTTTTAATTTACAGTGTTGTTGCAACCTACCATCTTCCATTTCTTCCACCAAATTATGGGGCTGCAGCTCCTCAGGCAATTCTTCAGTAGCGTCTCTCTTTACCTCATCTAGATTTTCACTATCTTCTACACCAGTCCTTAAATTTTGTTGGTATACTTTTAATCTCTCAACAGCTGTCCACTTTCTATCTGTTTCACAGATGGTAATGGCAGGAAAATTACAGTCTTCATTAGCATTTCCATCAGACATTTCGGCTTTTATATTTTGATACCCTAAATAAGGAGAGGCTGAGCTATTTCCACTGGGTTTCAGCCATTGATTAACTCCAATAGCAAATGTAAGGAAAACGCGAAGATGAGCCTCATTATTTTTGCTTTGTGAAGTATCACTACTTTGCTGAAGCACCTAAGCACAATGCATTCATAAAATTATTGGTTTTAATGCAATTTAACTGAAAACTGTAGAAAAATAAATGCACCAGCTTTACTTACATTTAGGACTATATTATACAACCCCAGAGCAATTTCAGGTGACGAGTGTTGAAGTACTAAGCTTAAGGCATCAAAAACACCCATATGTTTGTCTAAGTGGCGAAGTCGTATGCTCATACAGTGCGACAAGTAATCCATGTTGTTGGAAATAAGTGCCACCAAATCCGAGTCAAAACCACACGCCTCGGCGACTCGAGTGAGAGCTCGACGACCCGCAAGCGACGTACAGCTGTTTGCAGATCCGGCTTGCTCAAGAAGCGGGTAGAGCACTCGCAAGAGGTGGGTCTGAGCTTTATCTCTGCCCACGGCCAAAATACAAGCCCCAATGCCCTCTGTCAATAAGCATGTCTGAAATTTAGATAAAAAGGATGTTAAAAACGTCAGCTATTTGCACAAAAAATCCTGTAAGAAAAATAAAATTTGACAACATTTACCATGGCAATGTCTTCTTGAATCCTGCTGACAGTTGTGACAGATTTTGAATTTTCTTTGGCTGGCCACAATTCAGGAGCCAAGTATGATTCCAGCAAAGAAGTACCAAACTCATAAACATTGTCATTTTTCACTTTGCAGGCTGACAGCAAAAGAATATTCAATAAAAGAATACACTCTTTCCGAAAATGTGTTACAGAATGCAGAGTATCCAAAAGCTGTGAGCTCAGCAGTTCAAAAACTCTAATTGAATTTTCAGCAACAATATCACAAAGTTGTAGAACATTAGACAGAACGGCAAAATCAGAACTGAATCGGAGTCTCATCCAAGGTACATTTAAATTATTACACCGTTCAGCTGTCAGTTGCCTCATAGAATATTCATTGCCTACACTAATGTTAGAACATTCTAGTGTAAGAACATGAAGCAAAGAGAGAGTCAATCTTTGAAGATGAGCTGAGCTGCTTAAGACATTCCTCATAGAGGGACGCAAAAGCTGAACATAGCCTGAAAGCAGAGCTACTGAAGAAGCTCCATATGCCCCACCTACAACATTTTATAAAAATAAAATTAATTAACAGTTAGTAAGCAAGATGTTACTAAAATAAACTTTAAACAACCTTAATAGATCATACCATCTTTTTGAACAAGACGAGGAAGTCTTGTGAGTAACATGTAAAAGTTTTCCTCTGCAAGCTGAAGAAAATCATAGCCGTTCTGATGGGAGAAGAATTTATTAAGTTGCTCAATTGAAGAGAGACTTTCATTCCTCACTTTGTCATCCTCATGAACGGATAGGGTTACAACTGCATCTAAAAGAGGCCCAAGACCTTCTTTCAGTGATCTAGGACTCCTTATAAGGATTAAAGTACAAGCACGCACAACTTCTCTGCATACTTTTGCATCTGAGTGCTCACAGTGCTCTGCAATTTTTGTCAGATGAGGCATTAAGTTGAGTGCCATTTTCTTCCTGACTTCAAGGGTGCGGCCTTTGGAAGACTCAATTTCTTTTTTAAAATCTTTTTTTTGTGTTGGTTGTGCCTGAAACAGAGACAAGTTGGAAAGATAAGGCAAATTCCTATTAACATTCTTTTCACTCAAATTGTGATAACTGTACAAAAAACAGTTGTTACCTGAGAGATGTCTGGGGTATGATCAGGAGAACCAGACTCTTCAGATAATTGAAGAAGTGATTCCATCATTTTAGATGTATCGTTTTCATCGGAAGTTGCATAATCTTCCATTACAAGAGCAATCATAGTACTAACAGTAAATATGGCAGTCTGAAATCAAAATCACGACACAGTTTTGTCAGACAATTCACCCAACCAAACATCAGAAAAGGTGAAATTATATGTTTGAAATGTGTTGATGAATACTGACAGATAGCACTTTACTTCCTTGAGTGATGTCCCCACACACAATAGACATTAGCTTAGTACAAGCTCCAGGTAGAATAAACTGAAAAATGTCAGCGACTTCTTGACGTTCCCATGGTGATCTCTTGTCAGGACCATCAAGAGGCACTTGCTGCAGCACCAAAACAACCTCCATTGCTCGAACCCTAAAAATTAGGAACATAGAGCTCAGTTACATATTTTTGTCTGTCTTTTAGGTTTGCGGAGGTAATGATAATACAAATTGAAATTACCTCAAGACTCGTAATCTCTCCGATGCAGCCAGTTCAAGGCAAGTGTATGCTATCTGACAAATGTCAGGAACATTATCCTTCACATAGAATGCTTCTTGAAGATCATTTGACATATTTTTAATAGCTCCAAATGCACAGTTCATCACACTGAGCTTCATCTCTTCCGGAACATTTTTAACTATAAGGAATTGATTCATTTTAGTTAGAGAGAAAACATTGGCTGTGAATCTCAATTGACAGTTACCAAATTGTATTTACTCATATTGGGTGAGTTCTTGTCAAATATTTCCATCATTAACATCTTCAGTATATTTTTTACAATAGTTACTGTCTGTAGTGAGGTGCGGTTCAACACATCATGAACAGAATCTAATAGAATTGTTTTTGTCTCTTTGCTGTGAAAATAATAATGGAAAACCTTTGAAAGTCATTATCTGTTTTCAAGTCAATTAACGAACAGAAACAATATTATCTCACCTTAGATTCGGATCTACAATCTCTCCCAGGATAGAAGCCAAAATATATGGATGAAGTTTTTGTAAGGAGAATGTGTCGACTGAAACTATGACATCTTTAATCTTAGCCGCTGTTTCTTTAGTACATCCATCTTTCATTTTATTTAATAGGGGGTCTAAATGCTGCACAGTCGCAGCCATACGATGTGAGATTTGATCCATAGTGTGAAGATTGTACCGTATGTTACGCTAACATTCAATAATTTATGATTTTGGTCAAACTGTGAAGCCAATTCATAGAAAACTTTCAAAGAGTTTATAAGCGATTTCCAGACATGCATGTGCTCAAAAATTACAATTACTTAGCCGAAAACATTAAAAGTGTAAGGTTATGATGCCCATGATACAGAAACAAATATTGAGAGCTGTACTTATTGGCAACTGTCGTAGCCCGCATATAATACAAAACTTTAAAAAAAATGGATGACGTGATTTCTGAGTCAACGATAACAACAGTTGGAAGTCTCCTTTCTCCTTTTAAACGAATTACCGCTTCTTGCTCTTGTCTTGCTGTTTCTTTCTTGTTGTGGTTCTGATTCATTCCATTCACATTGGTATCGACATTGAAGCGCGGGCTTTCTTTGTTTTTGTTTGTCGTCTGCACTTTGAATCTCCGAATTGTGTTCGTTACTAGCGGTACTACCTTACGTCAACTTTTACTGTCACACGGATGGAAGAGCTTGCAAATACAGGAATATAGGAGTTGTCATTGTGATGATTTTGTGTGAGGTGATATCTCAACCCTCTCCAGCCTCTCCGTAGACACCATATGAGTCAAAGGTTAGGTTTGCGCGTTATGCTGTGACAAATTTTTAATTCTACGGCGTTGTTTTAATTTTGCATGATCCTTTGCAGATTATAGGTTGTCTGTTCCCCTAGTTTCTTATTCGTCATCAAAATGGTCAAGGGTAAAGCGTCTCCTAATGGCTTGGACAACTCACAGGCTGAAGCATCAGTCATTGAAGAGGAGAGCCCCCAATCTCAACTGGCTCACGATGTGAACGATGTGAACATACTCCGCACAGATGATATATTGACAGAAGAAAATGTTGATTTTAAAAGTCTGCTACTTCCGGCATTCATTTTAAATGGATTAGAAGCTGCAAACTTCCAAAAGCCTTCTCCGATTCAGTTGCGTTCAATACCTTTACTCCGCCTTGGGTTTGGTGTGTAATTGCCGTCAGATACTTCTTTTTTCCATTCATCATGATTCTTAGTGTATCTTATTATTTAACTTTGTGTTTGTAGATCTGATTGTTCAGTCGAAAGCTGGTACAGGAAAAACCTTAGTAATTGCCTTGGCGGCCTTGGAAACTGTAAAAGTGGATAGCAAGAGGATGCAAGTGATTGTGATTGCACCAACCCGTGAGATAGCTCTTCAAACAAAGCACTTCATATCCATTGTTAGCTCTGATATTAAAGGTACTTATTTCTTCCACTATTTTAATATATGTAGACACCCATCTTTCTTATTCTGTCTCTCCCTATCAGTCCGAACAGAAGTATTCATCGGTGGAACTGCAGTGAAAGCAGACAAGAAGAATACTCTAGGCTGTCAAATTGCCATAGGCACACCCGGACGTTTGAATAGTCTGATTGAAAGTGGTGACATTTCTTTGAACCATGTTCGACTATTTGTTTTAGATGAAGCTGACAAACTAATGGAAAAGTCCATCTTTTCTCAAATAAAGTAAGTCTGTAATGCCTTGGTAGCGTGCCTTTTAGTAATCAATTTATGTTTCCATTAAGTACAATGATGGTATCAACTGATTACCTTTTCAGATCTATTTCTAAATTATTGCCTGCCAACAAACAAACAATCCTCTGCAGTGCTACATTTCTTAATCCTGTCAGGGATTATGTTGTTAAGCACATGAAGGAACCCTTTTGGGTTACTCCTGAAAAAGCAACTCGTCTACAGCCGGGTAACATTGAACAACAAAAATTTGCTTCAACTGTATGTATTTTAATCCCTTTTCATTTGAGTCCCTTTTTGAAGAAATGTTTATAAATTAACTATGTTTTCTTTTTAGGCTCTTTTGGGAGTCACACAATTTTTTAAAGAGGTTCCAAACCATCCTCAAATTGTTAGGAAATTAAAATACAAGCTAGAAGAAATTCTTGATATTCTCTCTGGTCATTCCTTCACTCAATGTATGATTTTTTCAAACTACCAAACAAGGTAAATCTAAAATTATTAGATATGGCATTTCTTCTCCTGTTGTCAATAGCATACTGTTTTCTCATGCACTTGTGTGTGTCGCAGAGCTGAGACTATTTGTCACCAATTAGTTGCGAATGGTTGGAAAGCTATGAGTATTCGTGGTCAGGATGAGCAGACACATCGAACAGCTACCCTAAACTCTTTCAAGGTTTGTAACATCTTTTCAAAAAAAGACAAAACTGTTCTTCTTATATTTATTCCAACAATAAGTTGTTTTAAAATATTTATTTACAGGAACTTCAGAGCCGTGTTCTTTTAACAACTGATGTTATGTCAAGAGGGGTTGATTTTAGAGGTGTGGATCTAGTTATTAATCTGGATATTCCTTATGATCCAGCCACTTACCTGCACAGAATGGGCCGAGCAGGCCGGTTCGGCTCTTATGGTAATGTTTATGTTCAATTCAATTTTGTATGCCATGTACTGTTTGGTGAAATTTGTAAATTGAAACATTCTCTGATTTGTTTTTTCTAGGCTGTGTCATCACTCTAGCATCTGCTGGTGAAGAAGTAGACAATTTCAAAAAAATGTTGTCCGAGATAAATGAGTCTATAGTCTATGTTTTACCTGCAGATTTGAGCCTTATCAAACATGTGAGTAAACTTGAGGATGTCTTTTTTGGGTCCCACAAAAAGTGTGAAGGGGACCTAGTTAGCAAATTGGAGAACTTGGATTTGACTGTTGAAGATGAAGGCGTCAGTGAGAACCTTGGGCCAAAAATTGGGGAGGTGTGCTTAAACAAGAGACAGAGCGAAGATGAAAAAGCTGCTCATGAAGATGTGAATATTCCAGTTAAATGTGAGGGGGAAAAGATGTCGATGGGAATTAGTAAAAATCCAAAAGGGACAAAGAGAGAAGAGGAATGCAAATCAAACCTTAAAGTTCCCGGCGGAAACACACTCTCAAAAGAATGCAGCAAAGTTTCCACATGTTCACTGCTGTCTTCATCACATGCCACTGAGGCCTCTTGTGCTCTAGCAAACAGTGCACCCAACCTGGGTAAGACAGTTAGTGAAACAGCTCTGCAACGTGCAACTGATCAGTTGTCTAAAGCGCTGTGTGCTCCGAAACAGAAGTCGTTGACCTTATGCACTTATGAAGATATGGAAAAATCGTTCAATGAATGGTCTCTCTCTACCAAAGGCAGTAAGATTGAATCCTCTTCCTCAGGGAATAATAATGATTTCAAGGATTGGTGGTCATCTGCCAATTTAGTGTTGACAGCAGCCAATTTACAGTTGCAAGAACTGAGGGAAAATGGACTCAAAAAGCCCAGTGAATTTGAGGCTGTTCAACACGATCCAGAATATACATCATCAGATGAATCCGTTTATCAGCCCAAGAAAAACATCCCGAAAACCCAAAAGAAAAAATCTAAAGGGAAAACTGGTGGAAGTTCTCAAACCAATATGGCTTCAAAGTACCAAACATTGTCCACATCGCCACAAGACACACCCTGGCTATGGGATGAGAGCTCTAAGTTATACTATATATGGGATGAGTTGGAATCATGCTACTATTTATATAATCCCGATTTAAAATGTCATTTCAAATGGGAGTCTGGATTGAATAGGTATTACAAATGGGACACAGTGTCACAAAAATACAGGTTGTGGGACTGTGAAACAAGTTGTTACTGTGATACAAGAAATCTTAATTTGAATGATGCAAATAGTTTTGGATATCATTCAGACATGTCATTTCCAAGAAATCAACTGGACCAAAACTACATTAGTTGGTTTTCAATGTGGAGCAAACAAATCAGACAGATGAGTTTACAAGTGTACCAAGCAGAGTTTCTTAAAAATTTGATGGGTCAAGGTCATAATCTGTGATGTCTATGTGAATGATGTCGGGTATGTTGTTTTTTTCTCTGATTGCATCTCTTTGTGTGACCATAAATTCAAGACACGTCTGGAAACAAAATACATACTTTATTTTGTAACATTTGGAATAATACAAGAGTTGTCTGAATACCTCTACATTAACATTCATCAAAGTTGAAATATTTTTTGATTAAAGAGAAAAATAGGAAGATAACAGATGCCCTGCTTTTCAAGAGCTGTGCAATTTCAGTAGAAATATCGTGCATTAGGGTATCTAGGGAAGAACAATCAAATCCAAAGAATCTGTCCAAATAATCTGGATAAAGTTGAGAGTTTCTTCAGAACAGCTACAAAAACTTTTAAATTTGAATTAAAAATATTGGGTGAAGTGTTGATTGTGCAGTTACACCTCTCAGCATCAAATTTGAAGGAAACTTTTTATCTACTGCCATTTTTATTCTATGCAGTTAGCTATGCCTGCCTAGATGTGTGCAATTTTCTACATCAATGTGGAAACAAGAGGATTTTTGACATTTGGAACAGGAGAAGGAAAACATTATAATAAACATTCAATTGAAAGTATTATGTTTAAAATCATGATTTAAATGATTTTCTACTCTATGATCATAATTTACATCTATATTTCTACTAAAGAGAAAGAAGGATATGTAGTTTACACCATTGAGTTGTTGTATGTCTTGGGATATTGCTAATGTTTGGTAAAGCAGCCCATATCCAAATCTTTTTCCCATGTCCCATGCATCAAGAACAGCGATCAACACCTAACAAGTGCTTTGTGTCAATTGGTGGGGGGCATTGCAGCTCTTGTCTTTTACTGGATGAAAACATATTTATGAGTTACCATGTGATGGTAGAGTACGTGCAATGGTTATTGTTTGGAATGTGTCTTTAGTGATTTCTGTAAGGGGGCCACATAGACATAAAAAACTTTACTGGAATGATTTCTTTTTCTTTTTTAACTTTTGAATTTTTTTCTACCAATCTACATCAAGCTTCTTGTTGAGTTCTAGTCTTCTGACCTTTTCACTATTGAAGTAATTTAGGGCAACTGCATCTCACTTGCAATTCAAGCTCTTAGACTTTGGTCAACATATTCATGGAATGAATGCAAGGGTCCTAATCAATGTAATAGTAAAAATACGTAAATTTGGAATAATTTAAATTTGGTAAATCTTTAAATTATTTGTTTCTTAATAATCTGTTGGACCAAACATGTTATGCGCAAGATCACTGCTGAAACAAGTGCCTCCTATGTCTTAAAAAAAATATGGAAGCGTTGGAGGGATAGGGTCAGTTGTCTGTTGTCTTTGAGTTTAAGAAAAATATCTTTGAACTAAATGAATAATGAATCTTACCAATATTAAGGATAACCTTTGGTCTCGGTTGCATGTTGGTATTTATTAGTGTCATATTGTTCTTATGTCATATTTACCAGTCAGTGTTGTTAGAGGATGTCTTTGAAACATGGAGTGGAGAAATCTACTTAATTTTGTATGAGTGGTAAACGAGGCTCAAGAAGGATCCACACAATCCAACCAACAGAGCCAATCTTTGTAAGCAATGTTAAAGAAACTCTTCAGCACAGCCATAATAGAAACCCATTATGCCAAAAATTGAAGCTTAGAAAACTATTTTCTGCACGGATTTGGTCAAATTATTTTTGGAGGTTTCAAAAATAAGCTTATGCAAAGAAAGTCACAGCCAATCTGAAAATAAAACCTATTTATGCATTTCTAAAGTGAGGGCTAGTTTTCACTCATCCCTTTCTTATGACACAGTTCTGAACATTGTTTCAAGCAATGCTCATGACACCTGCTACCCTACTATTCTGTAAGACTAGCATCACATCTTCTGAACATTTAAGGACAGGAATACATGCCTTCAATAATATCACAGTCAAGACTTTGAACAGCAAAGTTAAGCACCATTGCTTACAGGTAAGATTTTGCATTACAATGAAAGTAGGTCATGATTTTGCATAAAAGATAACTACAGATGTTTTTCAACATTGAAAGTTTAAAAAGAATCTCTATTCATATGTACATTTTAATTTTAATGTAAATGGAGGGACTGGTGTATGCATTTCTAATTTGTGCAATAGAGGGTAGAGATCACGTACGTAAAAAAAAGTGACTGGGCTCTAGAAGCCACAGTAAAAATCAGGAACAATAGTTATCAATAATTGCGGCTTTGGCATTCAGGAAGCTATCGTCTTGCTTCTTTGGAAGATGCATGAAATTAATCACGGTGTCTTAGAAAAAAATGTCTGTTTGAAAGCCAGCTAAAAGTCATCAATTTTATATAAGAAGAAGTATCTCCCACTGTTTACTCTCTTGGCACATATTGATCAATGTTCTTATCATAGCATACCGAACAAAATGCTAAAATCGCTTCCCATTTCTTTTCTTTTTAGATTCTGACAAAATATACTCCCATCTGACTCTCAACAAGAGGATGTGAGGGGTTCCAGCTTCACGTGCCACTTTTCTTTTTTTCTTTTTTTTCTTCATCTTCCCCTCCAGCGCCTCACTCTTTGTTGGGTTCGTCGGGCGACAGGTCGTCGTCCGGAGTGGTCGGCCCGTGCCTCTCCATGTCCACGAGGCGGAAGGCCTCCAGGAACTCGTTGAGGTCCACCTGGCCGTCCTTGTTCATGTCCATGGAGCGGCAGATGTCCACCGCCTGGTCCTGCGACGCCTCCAGGTGCTCGCCCAGCAGCGCGCACGCCTCCGAGAACTCGTCCAGCGAGATGTAGCCTGGAGCACGCGAGGCACGCGAGGTGAGCGCAAAGTTGAGCCGCATTTAGATTGAAACGTGTCGGCGCCGAAATCTCGTATTCCGAGCACTGCTTTCGTCGCTGAAACGCTCCATGAGTGCGAGAGAGTCAGTGCGGCGAGAGCAGTGCTCGGACTCAGTCTGCTGGGAACTGGGCACGGTTCGTCGGCCACACTAACTCTCCAGAGACCGTCGCCCCCGTCTCATAAAGCCCGAGCGCCATGCAGCCGCAGGGCCGCAGCATTGGCCGCGGCGGGGGCGGCGGAGGGAGTCATACTTCGTCGAGTTGAATGGTTGAATGCCATCTCCATTTCCCTGGAAGGGCGCGGGAAAAGAGGCCGCGGGGCGCGGCTGGCGCGGCAGGGCGAGGCGGGGCGACGTGGGCCGGTAGTTTGCATGCGCGCTAATTTATTACTATCTGTGCGAAGAGCGCGAGGCGAGGCGAGGCGAGGCGTGCCCCGGGGCTGCAGGGAACGGCACCGCGCGCCCGTGGCGTGAAAGGCCAGAGGGCCTTCCCTTCCTGCACCATGCCTGCACCCTCTCCCCTCTCGCTCCCTCCGCCGCGATGCCGCGTTCGTGAGCCGATACCCCTGTATCCCTGTGCGACTCGGCGGTGCTCTCTCTCACTCACTCACTCACTCCACCAACACTCCAATAAGCCCACGGTCGGCGGCCAGGCCGTGGAGGCGGAGTAGCGCGGCACGAAGGTGCACCCTGCCGCCCCCGAAGGCCCGAAGGAACGTTCCGTCGCTCTGTCTCTCTCGCACTCATGGGGCGGCCCGTTGGCCCGCTGGGGAGTGAGAGAGACAGAGCGACGAGAGACTCCTCGGAGTGAGGTGGTTTCGTCGGGGAGGGCGGAGGAGGCGCTACTCACCCGAGTTGTCCTTGTCGATGATGCGGAAGATGGCCTCCAGGCTGGACTTGTTGCGATACAGGGTCTCCGCCACCGTCCCGGAGTCCTGCACGGAGGAAGATCACACTTTTACACTGGGTGCGTTCACTCCTTACTGACTACAGGATTAAAGGGTGCTTTCAATTCTACTTTGTCTGGGGTCGTTTGGCCGGCTTCCCGCGGGAAGCGCCCCGGCACGTTTCCCTGGGACTTGGGGCGGGTCGTTCCGCGGTGTAGGTACTCGCCGCTGCCGCGCACACCAACCCACACACACATGCTACCCCCTCACATGCAGTTTGGAGTGCATCTGGGGAAGAACCACACTCCGCCAAACGGGCGCGCCGCCGGCCCCGCAGGCCGTTGGAATAATTAATGCCCCATGTTGGTTCAAGGCTGCCCCCTCATATCTCTTCCCCTTGCTCCGCCCTGGCCGCCCCGGCGGCAGCGAGATGCAAGGGATGAATAACCCAGCATGCCGCTCTGCCTGGCTCTGCCCTGCCGCCGCCGCGTTGCCGCCTTGCTGCGTTACGAGGGCCAAGGGCGCCAAGGGCAAGGGCAGGCCAGGCAGGCCCGGTGGGAGTCCGACACAAGAACGGCGGGGAAGCCGCAGCCCGCCCCCCGCGCCCCCTCCCGCACGCCCTGCAGTCCGTGAGGAAATGTCGCGTTGCTTTCTTTGGACCTGCCGCCACCGTACACCTTTCTCCGGCGAAGGGAAGACTGCCGGCGGGCCTACAGCAGCCGGCGGAGCGAGAGAGACGACGGCAGTGTGGTGGCGGCCGTGTGTGTCTGCTCATCAGGCCAAGCGTGGACAGGCAAACGCACTGTGAGGGGCGCGAAGAGGCTGCAGCAGCCCTCAACCCTACGCGCCGTGTGCCTTGGGGGAGTCAGAGGGACTGTGGGCTCTGGCCAGCTCTGGCTGCCTCAGACTCGGCTTTAGCTGCTTTAGCTGCTCTAGCGCTTTATGGACCCGTTTACGGCCGAGCTGTAAAGAAAAATGCCCGCCGCCAGACGCGGGGCGCGGCGGGGCGCGGCGGGGTGCGGCGATGCGCACGTCAGCGAAGGGCTCAGCTGCACACACCGATGGCGGGGCGGGCGGGGAAGACCACCATTACGGCCGCAGCAGTTTGGCAGCGGCGCCGGTGATCAAGGGTTCAAGTACTGGGTTCGGGAGGTTTTTCTTCTCTCCTCTTTTCTCTTTGAGCAGCCTTCTCGGGGTGGATGGACCGCCGCGGACCGTCGCGCACCGGTATTAAGCGAGTTTGATGCGCGGCGGGGCCGTGGTGAGGCGGAAGAGGGGGGGGGGGCTATCCGGGGCTATCTACGGCAGACTACGGGGGCCCTGCGTGCGGACCCTGCCTACCTTGTGGGTGTGGACGTCTGACGATGTGCTTGCCAGGGACGATCTTGACCCCTAAACCACCAGGCGTGTTAGAGAGAGGCAAGCAGACAGACAGGCAGACAGACAAGCGGACAGACAGACCGGCGGACTCACCGATCGCTTGGCGGGCAGCTGGTCCTGGAAGGTGGTCTGCCACTGCACCTTGCCGGTGCTGGGGTGCACGGTCACCAGCTTGTGGGAGAGCATGCGCCACGGCAGGTTGAGGCTGGTGCGGGCCTCCAGCGCCTGGCTCCACTGCGACACGGTCACGTAACCTGCAGGCAAACCGTTTGGGCTTTTACAAAAACCACCGTCCCGTACACTGCAAACCAAAGCCGCACCGAAAACGAACGACCCCCTTTCGCCGCGCGGGAAATAGATGCTAACTAACTGGGCGACCGCCGGAAGGCCGGGGTGGGGGTGGGGGTGGGGGGTGGGGTGCGTGAGCAGATGTGATGAGGCGGGGTGCTTCGTTCGTGTCTAAGGTGTCTTAAGGGGTCTACTGCTCGGCCACGTCGGGCCTCGCCTGGCCTAGCCTGGCCTAGCCTCGCGTCGGGCCCGGCAAGTGGGGGGCTTAAACTATATACCCCGCCGCCACCCCGCCGCGTCCGGCCGGAGAAAGAGGGGGGGAGGGGAGGGGGCTGTGTGCCCCGGAGTATCTGCACGCAACATCTCGAGGAAACTTTCTTGGTCGCGCCCCGCCCCGCCCCGCCCCGCCCCGCCCCGCCCCGCTCATCGTCGTCCGTCAGTGGGGCGGTGCGTTGTAGTGAGGCTTATCTTTGACGCGCCTGGACGGACGGACGGGGCGGCCGGGACGGGGCGGCGTGCATTTTAAATCCAGTGACGAAGGAAGAGTGCGTCGCGGTCGCGCCGTTCAGCACGGCCTCCCTCGGCCAGGCTGGGCTGCCGAGCGGTGTGTCTCCCCGTCTCTCTCGCACCCTTGCGTAGAGCCCCGCGAGTGCGACGGAGACAGAGCCGGGCTCGGGCTCGGCGTTAACGGGGCCGTTAGCGGCTTGGCGAAGGGGGTATCCAGAGTGGCGGGGATCGGGCGCAATGCGGTTTGGCTAGAAACACAGTGTGATGAGAGTTTGCAAAGGGGAGGGAGGGGTGGCCTGTGCCGTCTATCGCCTGGCTGGCTGGCGGGGCCCGCTCTTGGTGGTCTTGGCCAGGCTCCATGAGGGGGGCCGGGACGGGGCGGCAGCTGCAAGGACGGGGCGACTCGTAATCATTGCCCAAGTTTGTTTGCCTCTTTTATTCGCCGTCTCTATGGCTTTTCGCGCTGCGTCAAAGTTGTGAGTGTGTGTGAGTGTGAGTGCGTCCGTCTGAGTGTCCCTGTCTGTGAGTGTCTCTGTTTGCTCGGCGTGAATGTGTGTGTGCGTGCCCGCTCGGCTGCAAGGTGCCATCGCCAGGCGGCTAGGCTGGGCTCTGCAAACGGCGGGACACCAATCTGCTTTCAGTCCCCCGAGACTGGCGAGGCTGCCGAGACGCACCCGGATGAGGACTGCGATGCTGATCCTGATCCCCTGGCCCGGCCCGGCCCGGCCCGTCCCAGCCGCGGCTCAGCCCAACACTATCGCCTCTACCGCGGTCCCGGTCTCTCTCTCCAGCTCGGCCCCGGACTCAAGCCCGGACTGGTGGGATCCGCTTTCGCCGCCTGGCCCTCTGTTTAACGAGGCGCCGTGCTAATGCTGCCTTTGCCCTGCACCGCGGTCTCTCCCTCCCTCTCCCTCTCTCACCCATAGGGGGCGCACTATGAGTGCGAGAGAGAAAGAGAGAGAGACCTGCTGGAATCAGTGTGCTGGCTGGCCCTAGCCCTTTGGGTCCGCTTCCCGTTGGGTTGCTGCTCGGTCCTAGCTGGCCCTAGCCCGGCCCTAGGCCAGCCCTAGGCCAGCCCTTGGCCCTTGGCCGTTTGGTCCCCGTCTCGTGCCCGGCGGCAGTTAGGCCAGCCTTGCCGCCCACCGTGTTTATATATATATCGGCCGAACCGGACCGCGCCGCATTTCATTTCGAGGCTGCATGCTGCTCCATGCACGGCCGGCCGGGGGCCCCGGAGGGCCCGGCCCAGAACGGCCCAGCCAGCCCGGCCCGCTCGCCCGAACAAAAACAAGCAACTTGTCTCCATTAACGGCGGCGTGCAGGTGTGGTGTGGGGCGCCGGGGGACCTCGTCTTCCTGTCCGCGCAAAGCCCGAGCCCGCGCCCCGCGCCCCGCCCGGATGCGGCGATGCCGGGCGGTGCGGGCCGATGCGGCCACCAGTGGCACGGCCGACCTTTGACCTCCGCCCACGTCGGCGTGGCACGGCCGCCCCCGCCGACGACAAAGTGACGCTGTAACTCAAGTGCGCCTTCCAACCTTCCTGCCTCAGCCTCCCAGTGCTGTTTGCCGCCGGGGTCGCTCTCCTAATAAACGTGGGAGAGGTACGGCCGGCCGGGATTGGACTGGTGGAGGCGGGTGGAGGGCTGCAGGACTGCAGGGCTGCAGCACGGCGGGCAAGGCGGCCACGGGGTGCGCGATAGACGTATTCAAATGGAGTCGAATGCCGATGGGGTTATGCAGACCCGCCCCGCCCCGCCTGGGCTCGGCTTGAAGAACAGACAGAAGTGGGCCGACGACGACGGCGTGCTCCCCGTACTACCCCCAGAGGGAGAGGGGGGGGGAGGGGGCCCGCAGCCTCGGCGGCGCTCGGCTTCAAGAGGGCCTGGAAGAGGAGGCAACAAAGTCTGCGCTGCGCTCAAGTTGTTTATTTTCGGCCGCACAATTGCGCGCGGAATGAATCTGACCTTTCCCCCGTGGTGGCGCTGCCGCGCGTCGCGCGCTGCTGCTGGCGGTGGCTCCTTTGTTTGCAAGCACGCCGCACAGTGGGCCAGAAAACCGGCGGATGCGTCAAAATCTCGGACGCGTTTTGTGCTCCAGAGCTACATGTGAATCGAACCGAACGTGTGACCCCACCAATGGATCGCTCTCCGAACGAGGAATCCACTGGTGGGGTCACACGTTCGGTTCGAGTCCTGTTGAGCGACTCTGAAGCTCAAAACGCGTTTACAATTTTGGCCGCCTCTGCTTGGCCTCTGCCGGTCTTGGTTCGCAGTATGCGGCCGCTCCCGCCGCGACGCCAAAACGCAATAAGTGTAAAACAATAAAGACACGCCGCTCCTGCACTCCACGAGACTCCACTCCGCGGCGCCGTCATCGCCCAGGCCGTCATCCAGGCCGGCGTCCGGGCCGCCTAGCCGGGCCGCCGAACGGAGAAGACGAGGACTAAGGAGCTCCACTGTCGGCCAGACTTACATTAAGGCGGGAAAGGCCGCGCGGGAAAGCTTTTTGGCATTGACGTGAAGGACGCGCGCGTGGTGGGCCGAGAGGGGGGGGGGGGGGGGCGGCCCGGGCCTGATACGACGTCGCAAACTTGACTGTCTCCGGTCATCCCATCCACCCCACGGGATCGGCCCCGGCCCGGCCGCGGCCTGCGATAGCGGCGCGGCGCGGTGCGTCAAGGTGGAGCGGGAAGGGGGGGGGGGCTGAAGGGCTTGGGGGCCTAACGTGAAAGGGCCGACAAAGGGAGCGAGGTCTCGGCTCGCCGTTGTCGCGCTGAGTAGTTTTGATCGGGATCTCGTCGGGCGGCCCTTTGGAGCGCCCTGGTCCTGCGGCGCCCCGCCCCGCCCAGCCCTTAGTCCTTCGTCCTTCAGGCTGGGAATGCGCGCCCAAGGAAATCACGTTCACCTTCGGAGGTAGCTCGCCTCGCCGCCTTGGCCCTGTGGCCCCCTGGCCCTTTGGCCCTGCGGCCCTTTAGCCGCCCTGGCCGTCAATGGGCCTCGGGCCGCGTGCTGCAGACCTCGTCCGGCAGGGCCTCGTCCTGTAGGGCCGCCCTGCCTTTGTGCCGCCGCACGCGCCGCGCCGCCTCAAAGCACTTACAGTGCCGGGGGGCCAATCGAGTCCCGGACTGCCGGGGATTCTCGCCCCTTCAGCGCCGCACGGCCCTCGCGCCCTCACGCCCCCGAACTACCGCTGATTCGACGACGCACTGCCTCTCTCGCACGCAGCCAAGACGCCCCTCGAGTGCGAGAGAGACAGCGACGCGGTGGCTTCGGAGCGCCTGCGTGGCGGCGGGTAGGCAGGCCCGCCACGCCCGGCGGCGCCGCGGGCGAGCCTACCTCGGCGTCCGCGGGCGCTAGGCTAGGCCGAAGGCTAGACTCACCCGTGTTGTCGGCGTCCAGGCGCTTGAGGTCCTCGGTGAGGGCCTCCTTGTGCTGCAGCAGCTGCGCGCGGAGCTCCCGCAGCGCCGAGCTCTCCACCAGGCCGACGCGCTGCCGGAACGTGAGCCGCTTGGTGTTGGGCGTGGCCGTGGAGAACTGCACGAAGCGCGCCGACAGCTGCGGCCCGGACAGCGTCACGTAGGCGCCCGTGTTGGAGCCCAGCTCGTAGTAGTTGGACGCCGAGAAGATGGTCACCACCTGGAGGGAGAGAGGGCAGCCGCCAGGGCAGCGCAAATTGGAATCTATTCCGGCCGCTGATAAGATATTGCTATCGGGCAAGGAATGCAATAACCCGGGCCGGCACGCGTCGCAGCCAAGCCGAGCGCGGAGCGCGCGAAGCCGGGACGACTTTCTCTCCGTCTCTCTCTGCCTTCACTTGGCGCGACTGCCGACTTCGTTCAACTATCCCGATTTGAATATGAAAGCAGCAAATCCCGCGCTCGGCCGCTCGGCCTCGGGGACCTCGGGGGCGTGGGACGTGCCATAGTCGGAACGCGCCGAACGCGCCCGAATAACTCGTCTCGACTTAATGTACTGTGCTGCCCTCCCCCGCGAGTCCCCCAAAAGTCGAACGAACGGCCAAACTGGGTGAGAATGGTTCCTCGCCGCCGAAGAAAAAGTTCATAAACATCAAAGCAGATGACACGTTTCACTTCATACAGTGAATTTTCGGTAATTTTGGACTAACCTAAGAGAATCTTTAAAAACAGGATCCGGAAAATACTCTGTGAGACATCGAAAATAGTCTGTGGGACAGCGACTGCATAATGCCATTTCTTTTTCGCTGACTCGTCTCTTAGAAAGTCTGCAAGATCGCGTTTGAATTTTTGTGATTTCCTCCTCCGGCTGTGAAGGCCGACCGCATCAGCGCGACGTAAGTCTATGCGTTACGTGCGAGAGATTCAAATCTCAAGAGGCCCTCGCGACAGGCTGGCTGTCTGGCTGCCTTGCCCGGCTTGCCCTTTCCGCGACAGTCATCCCGTCGCGTGCGCCTGCCGCCCCGCCGGCCTCACGCCTCGCGCCGACGAGCGGTCCAATTTGGGCGGGGCTGCGCGGCGCACTTGGTGTGCACAAGCGGCGAGGCGCGGGGCGGCGGGGCGAGGAGCGGTGCAATCCTGTTCGGGCGCCGTTTTATTTTCGTTATTACGGCACGCCCCGCCACGCCCCGCCCCGCCACGCCCCGCCACGCCCCGCCACGCCATCAGCCAAATAAATGGGCACCGGCTCGGCGGGGCGCGGCGGGGCGCGCGGCAAATTCCTTATAAAGGACGGCGACAGCTGTTTGGCAATCCCTCTGCGACCGCGCTGCATATATTGGCTGGGATGACGCGACACATTTCGTCACCCTCTGGCCCCCTCCCCCTCTTCCCTCATCACTCTTGCTCCATGGCCCGGCACTCCCTTTGCCTAATCCCCTCCCCCCCTCCCCCCTCTGGCCGTGGGGCCGTCACCGCGTTGTAAACGTGGCCACATACATGGCGGTGACGCAAACGGACTGGGCGATAGTGGCGATAGCAGCGCCCTCTGTCGCAGGCGCGGCGCTTTCTCGGAACTAGCGGCGTGCTCCCCTAATGACCGCGGCCTGCTTGGCCTGCTCAGTGCTCGCCGAAACTCGAGACGCGTTTTGAGCTCCAGAGTCGCTAAACGGGACTCGAACCGCGCGTGTGACCCCACCAATGGGTTCCTCGTTCGGAGAGCAATCCATCGGTGGGGTCACACGCGCGGCTCGAGTCCCGTTCAGCGGCGCTGGAGCTCGAAACGCGTCCGGGATTTCTCAGCCCGCGCGACGAGTTGCCCGCTTTCCGGCGGAAAGGCGCGCTTTATTCCGAGGGCTGGCGGTAAGCGGCTTGCTGAGCGGCTTGCCGGACGGAAACCGCGGCCGGCCACGACAGCCACGCCCCCGCGGCCCGCGGTAACGGCCGTGAGAAATGGAGGCAGTCGACGACGGCGAGTTGAGCCACTGCAAGGGGCCGGCCGGTGGGCGGTCTAATGTCCTTAAAAGGGACTCGCATCAAGGACGGCAGGTTACTCGTCCATCGACATCCTCATGTGCTTGGTGAAGGGCTGGAGAAAACGCGGCCTGCTACGGAGGAGGTTTTCCCCGCCCATTTTGCCTGCAGGCCGTAGGCGGCGGCTCGCCCGAGACGCGAAGGACAAGTTTTGACGCGCTGTTTATCCTGGCCGCGGGGCCGGCGGGGCACTGGAAGGGCTGAATATGCATCGCGCCCGCCTCGATCAAACTCGCGCTCATTTTTGCATTTTTGCATTGGCGCGGAAAATGGGAAGAGCGGATTACTCATTCATTCATTGTTATTCGCAGCGCGGGCGGGACTCCGTCCCAGCTTACTCGCAGGAAGTGTTCCAGCGTCAGTTCTGGCTCCGTTCGCCTACCTGCCCTGCAGCAGGCCGACTGCGCTGCCGGGGCGAAGCCTCGCGGGCCGAGCGACATGACACGTCCCCCCCCCCCCCCGCCAGCCCCGCCACTTGTTGCACGTGCATTTATTACGTGGCCCCGCTGCTTGGCGCTTCGCGGAATGATTCGGAATGGCAGTAAGGACCGGTCACAAAAAACACAGGATTTGGCAAAGGGTTCGCGGCGCAGTCGTCATCGGCCTTCCGAACCGCTGCTTTGGCATTGAGACCGCGATTGAAAGACGACGCTCTGACGACCGGCGGCCTCTTTATCTGGCCAAGTTGAGCACCGCGTCGCCGAGTCCGAGGCCGGGCGAGGCCGGGCGCCGTGCCGCCGAGGCGGAGTCCCGGACTCGCTGTCTCGCCGCCCGGAAGTCGTTAGAGCGAGCGCCGGGGCTGCGACGAGCTGGGGCCGGCCTGGAGCGGCCTGGAGCGGGGCGAGACGAGTTGCCAGACCGCCATCGCCAAGACCGGCCAAGACCGGCCAAGACCACCCCGAGCGGTCAAAGTAATTACCAGGAGAAGTTGAAGGCGGTGAAAGACTACCCCCTCGCTCGCAGACACCAACCCATCGCCGGCAGGCCCCTCCCTCGACCGCCACCGCGGCCACCGCCCAACAAAGACAAAAACAGCAACTACCGCGCTATGGCAATTTGGCCGGTCTTTCTTGAGTTAATCGAGTTTACGGCGGCGTGCTGGCGGCGCTGGCGGTTCCGTTGTGCCCACGGAAGGGAGGTAAGGGTGGCCCGGCTCGAGGCGACACTCGGCCGACGACGGCGTGGCGGCGTGGCGGCGCGGCCCCGAGACTTTGGAGGGTTCTGCTTCGGGGAACCGCACCGCTTAGACCGACGGGGCGCGCTGCCGCCGCTAAGGGCCGCGGTCGGAAGTTCGGTGTGGCCGCGGCTGGGGCCTCCGAGGCCGTCGCTCTCACCTTGCCGCCGTGCGTCAGCTCGTAGCCGCCGAGCTTGCACTCGTGCGAGCGCACGATGTAGGACAGGTGGTGCTTGGCGAGGAACTTGTCCGTGACGTCGGGGCCGAAGTAGGTGCCGGCGCCGCGCAGGCTGTTGGGGATGCAGCCGTCCGCGGGCTGCGGGTCGCTCCACAGCAAGTCGAACACCTGCAACACGGGGAACACGGCGATAACGAACCGTCTCTCTCGCACCCACTGGGCCTCGCCCGCCTCGCCTACGCGAGCGAGAGAGACAGAGCGACGAGGCGCCGACAGCGTCGTCCTTTCACCTTCACGGGGCATCACGCCTGTCCTTTTTCCGCCCCCCCTCCCCCTCCATCATCGCCTTGCAAAGTAATCATAAACTGATTTTACGCCCGAGCGCGCGGCGCGGCGCCTGGCCGGGCCTTCCTTCGGTTCCTTCGGCCAGTTTGGAGGGCGAGGCGCGGCGAGGCGCCACCTTGCTCTAGCCCCGCTAGATTCATTGCCCCCCTCAGGACACGCCGATCGATAATCTCACCAATAAAGGCCGCCAGTGTGATAGAGAAAGCGCCGAGGTTATGAAAAAATAAGAGGAGAAAGCAGAAAAAAAAGTATTATGATCGCGGCGGTGGTATTTGAACCAGCCGCCCGCGGGGTTGGGCTGGGGGTGGAGGATTCCGCATAGGCGGTGGCCCGTACACACGCCGCGTCGCCGCGTCGGCGTGGGAGCCTGCCCCCTGCCGCCTGGCCCGCCTGAATGTCAGAGGATTCTAGGGTGGAAAAAATGAGGCCTTTGGCGGGAGTCGAACCCCGCGCCGCGCCCTGGAATCCTCCAATGTGCTGAGTTATGACACTGGTGCGTCATGCTGCGCTGCAGCGGCTCTCTCTGTCTCTCTCCCTCTTCCTTTCTCTTCTCTCTCTCTCTCTCTCTCTCTCTCTCTCTCTCTCTCTCTCTCTCTCTCTCTCTCTCTCTCTCCACCTGATGAAGCGGAAGGCCTACTCACCTGCTTCCACTCCATCTTGTCGATGAGCTCCGCCCCGGGTGCCGAGCTCTCGGTTACCGGCGGCCGCAGCAGCGACACGTACTGCGCAGACAGAGAGAGAAACACAAAGTCATGAACGAACAGGGCCGCGGGGCGTGCTTTGATCGCCGACTCTCTCGCACGTGTGCAGAGCCTCGCGATGAGTGCGAGAGAGACAGACGAAAGCGATGGCGGCGTGCGTGCCGGGGATGAGCGCGCGGAATGTTTGCGCGCTTTCTATCAACACGCGCGTGCAGGAGGCCCACTAGCCTTGGGCCCGCCCCGCCCCGCCCCGCCCCGCCCCGCCCCGCCCTTGTCGCATGCACGACGCGGCGCCGACTTAAACAGCTCGATGGGCGCGCGGCGACCTCCTCGACCTCCTCGACCGTCCTCGCCGTGTCGCCGAGACATCCAGGCCGCGCCGCCGCGCTCTCGTGACGGGAATCTCTCAGAGAAGTGCCGAACAGAGCGTTCGTCGCTCTGTCTTTATCGCACTCGGGGGCGTGCCCGGGGGCGGCGGAGGGGTGAGGCGGGGGCACTGTTGCGAATCCGACTACCGACGGCTGCAGCACCGTGGGCGGAGGCAAGGCGGCAAGGCCAAGGCACGGCGGAGGTAAGCCTCGCCCTCGCCCCGGGCATGGCTCTATTCCAGGCCGGCCGCGGGCGGACCTGTTTGGGAGTCCCGGCCCCGGCCCCCTGGCCCGTGGTATGAGAATCGCCCCGCCCCGCTGCCCCCAACCCCAACCCAACCCAACACGACCCCGGCCGACACCAGGACACCAGCGCCGTGCGTGAGACAACTACGAGAGCGCCGCCACCCCGCCTGGCCGCCGCGAGGCGCCGCGAGGCTCGGCTGTGCGGCGCTGTGCGCGCGCCTTAACCGCCAGACTCTTGAACCCCAAGCCGCACCCCTCGCTGGGGCCCGCGGGGAAACGAAATGTCACGCGGGTCGCGGGAAGAGAGGGGGAGGGGGAAAATGCGTGGGGAGCAACTCTGGCAATCGACAGCCTGGCTGGCGCTGGCGCAGGAGTCCTTGTCGAATACACAACAGGAAATGGAATTTGTAGGCGCGCTCTGATTGGCTGCGCGTAGCTGCGCGTTTCGTCCCCTCTCGCCGACGGCGTGAGCCGAGCCGCGCGAGCCGAAGCCACTTAATGGGGCTCTCCATCTCCGAGGGAAAAAAAAAGAGCCGACAGTAAACGAATAAATGGGGAGGAGGGACTTGCCTTGGATCTGGAGAGGTTCTTGACCCAGTCCAGGTCCGTGTTGTCCGAGATGCCGCCGTGCACCACGAGCACCTTGTTGTTGACGAGCGTGCCTAGCGGCAGCCACCGGTACACGTCCTCTATCAGCTTCAGCAGGAAGTCGGAGCAGTGCTGCGGGCAAAAAGAAAAACGCGGCGCATTTTAAAAAAAAAACCGTCCTAAAAAGAGTAACCGCCGAGATCATTTCATCTCGCGGCTTGCCCGATACTCTTAGGGAAATTACAAATCATCCTTGCTTACCTTATACTTGAGCTTCACTTCCCTCACGAAACCGTATCTGCACAAACAAGATTTTTTTTTTACAAACACCGCACTCCGATAGGTACAATCAATGAAAGCAAACACGACCTATCTCTGTCTCTGTTGCTCCTTCCACCTCCCCGCCGTCTCTGTTGCTCCGGCTCCCCCAGAGTGGCCGTTTGTTGATCTGGTCCACAAAGCCGGGCCGCTTTTAAACGTGCCGCCCCGCCCCCCGAAAAAACCGTGTCAGTGTTAGTGTATCGCCGCCCCGCCCGGCCCGGCTTCGCTCACCCTCGCGCGGTTGGAAGAGCGCCCGCAAAGCGGCAGATAGGCAATCCGCCGCGCAGCCGTGCCCACCGAGACAGGGGCTGCCTACCCGCCGTTACCATTACCATTACGGGCTAGACCACACATGGCGGCGGCGTGCGCGCGTCCGCGTCCCCGGAGAGACAGACGTGGCCGACGACGACATCACAGCGCCGCCCATTAAATCGTTTAGGACACTCCCGCCCGGTATCGATCCTGCGCCTCCACTCCAGAAAGACGCCGCGTGGCGGGGCGGGGCGGGGCGCGCCGCTGATGCATGGTGAATACTTTTCGTCTGCGGCGCGCAAGTAGAGTATTCAATCTTCTTCGACATTTCCAAACATGACAGGCTCCATGCCGCCTCCGTGGCGGCCCCGCCCCGCCCCGCCCCGCCACGCCAGTGCCATCGTCGCTGAGGGCCGCCGTGCCACGCGAGCCCCGCGCCTTCAAGAGCCCCCGCAGCAGCCATCAGCCGTCCGCACCACGACGAGGGTACTGCGAGTCATGACGACAGGCGTACACGGAAAAGGGGCGCAGCAGTAACCGAAATTGTCGGTGCTTTTTCCTCAACACATTCGTTTCGGAAATCGCACGGCATTATTTTGTTGCGTCGGCAGAAATGGGCGCTACAAATATTCTTTAAAAACAAAAAAAACTATTCTTTGTCTCTGCTGTGCTACACTGTTAGCTCCAGTGCAAAAAAATATATCGTTCGGTTTGATTTTATTTTTGCGTGCGAATAAACGCTGTACAGCGATCTTCCAGTGGGCGTTCGTGTGCACATTGTTACGTAACGCCCGTCAAGGTTGGGGCCGCGCGGTAAGGCCCATCCCACGCTGCGCGCATGTAGGGGAGATTGCGTTAGAAACGTCGTTACAAAGGCAGAGTGGAGTGGCGCCGGCGGGTGTTGGCGGTGGTTCGGAGGGGGAAGGCCCAAAGTGCTCTCCCGCACTGCGTTACGTAGTTACGTACCACGGGGTAGCGCTCCTCCCCCGGCTTCCCGAAGGCTCCCGAGGCATCCTCTGCGATAATGAGGCAGCAAACACCAACTTGGCATCATGGCGCAACTATTAAGCGCGCCGTGAGTCCGCGCGGGGCGGCGCGGGGCAGTGACGCTACCCCGGGCCTCCCTTAGCCTTATTTCGGCCCGCAGCCGTCGAATCTAACCACCGCACAGCCCGCCCCGCCCCGGTTTACTACTCGCGCTCAACTCCCGGCACCGCCGCGCCGCTTCTGCTTTGGAGGGAATGATGATGAAGCCCGCGCCAAAGCGGTGCTCGGATTAGTAAAGTAGGTCCCCGCCGTCCCCGAGGCCCGGTCGGCCGATTCCGCCGTCCACCGACCACACCACGCCGCCACCGCCGCCCGCCCAGCCCGGATGCGAAGGCCGGATGTAAATGAAAAACGGACAATGCGCTGCCCTGGCAGCCCTGCCAGCTCTGGTGTCTGTCCGGGCGGGCTGGCCGGGCAGCCCGAAATGCCGGAATTGAAAGTGGCCATTGTGCTGGGCACATCGTGTTCCCCACGGCGAGGAGCGCGGCCTGCCCTTGTCCGTGTTTGGATTCCGGGCGGCACGGCGGTGTGGCGGCTGACGGTGTGGTGGTCAACAGGTACCCTTTGGGACGACCCCCGAAGGTTGAGTCCCACGCACACCTCGGCGCTCTTCCCCCATGCCTCCCTCCCCAGGCAAGCTGCTGTCGCGACGGCGCGGCGGACAACACGAACCTGGTGTTCATGACGTGGTCCTCGTGGTTGCCGCGGTTCAGGGACACGTCGCCGGGGAAGACGAGCAGCACGCCGAGCAGCAGCAGCAGCACCTCCAGGCCCTTCTTGCCCCGGTCCACGAAGTCGCCGTTGAAGATGTAGGGGCTGTCGGGGGACGGCAGGCCGTTCTGGAAAGAGGAAGTCGTGGGGTCAATGGGCCAGCGCCCCGACGGCGACGAAAAAAGAGAGAGGCAGGAAAAAGTTGTGACGCGCGCGTCAATCGCCCTCACTCAACCCCCCCAGTCCCCGGTCTGTCAAACTTGCAGGCCGCCTTTTTTAAAAAAAAAAAAAAATCTGCCACCTTGAACCTGATTTTTTTCAACACCTGGAGCCTGGTTTTAAGACCTGGAACCTGGTTTCAAAACCTGGAACCTGTTTTTTTTTTTACCTTGTGGAAGACGACGAGGAGGTCGTCCAGCTTGCCGTGCAGGTCGCCGCAGATGGTGACCTGCTTGCTGACGGCCGTGCTGCACTGGTTGAGGTTGGGCAGCCTCTTGAGGTGCTCCACGGCCTCGATGAGCACGCCGGCCACGTACTTGGCGTGCAGGCGGTGCGGCTGCGGAGAGGCAAGAAATCACTCCGATCCACTTGTCCACAGCCACACAATGACTTCCAGGTCTATTTTTTGTCGCCCTCTCGATCCGCGCGGTTTTTTCCCCTCTCTCCCCTTTCCCTCCGTCGAGGGTCCATTCGACTACACGGGGCGCGCGGGGCGTGGGTCGTATCCGCACACACCATTTGTCAAAATGGACACGCGCCGCCCCGCACCGCCCGTGACAAATGTTTTGGTGCAAATGGGGCAGAGGTGTCCAGGACGCGGTCGCGCCTCCCCCCCCCTCCAGGTCCCGCCGTGACGGACACATTGTCAGCCGACCTAACGACCCCCAGGCCCCCGAGGGGGCTCATCGAGCCGAGCCCCGCACGAGCCGGCCGGTCAGGCAGCCAGCCAGCCAGCCAGCCACCGCGTCTCACCTTCTTCCGGCGGAAGGAGTCGATGAGGGCCTCCAGGTCCTTCCGGCGCAGCGGGAACTTGAGGTGCACGCCTTTGTAGGCCGGGTCCACGGGCTGGGTCAGCAGGTCGTGCTCCAGCGGGTTGGTGGCCTGCTGCGCCGCGGCCGCCGCTGCAGGGCATTCACAAAAATGAAACGAATTCGACGAGAAAGGGAGTCCCAGTGGCCGTGGCTGCACTGTGGGCCAGGAGGCCGGCGCAGGCGGCCAAAACTCAAGACGCGTTTTGAGCTTTCGGAGTCGGTAAATGGGACTCAAACCGAACGTGGATACCTCGTTCGGAGAGCAATCCATTGGTGGGGTCACACGTCACACGTTCGGTTCGAGTCCCATTTAGCGACTCTGGAGCTCAAAGCGCGAGCGGGATTTTGACCGCCCCCACCGCCGCCGTGTCGTGCTGGCGGGCTTTGTAATTCCACTCCGGGTGGCAAAGGCAAGCAGCGAGAGCGAGGTCTCGTCGCCTCGCCAGACGCGGAAAATAAAGGAATGAAAAATAATAAAACGAGTCGGCCGATACGGCGGGCAGCGGTGCGCGAGGCGTCCTTTGTGGGCCAGCCTCCCAGCGTGGCGAGAGGGAGCGAGAGAGAGGATGCAAGTCGCTGAATATAGAGGCGTTATTTCGGAGCGCGACGGTGCCTCGCGGTGCCCCGCACCCTCCTCCCTCCAGCTGCAGTGCTGCGGCTCGTGGCTGCGGCCGAGGGCCCACTCACTTTTTTTTGTCGTGCACCCACAACACGAATAAGTTTTGCACATTGATAATTGGTTTGCCTTGGTCGCCTGATTTAATATCGATGTGAAAAAGCTTTCATGAAAACTCGGCAGGTTCGTATGGCAGGGGCGTGGGCGTGGCTGGCACGCCTCAGAGGACGCCCCTCGCGTTACGTGCTTCTTGGACCGGACGCTGGAGGCGGCCAAAACTCTAGACGCGTTTTGAGCTCCAGAGCCGCTGAACAGGACTCGAACCGAACGTGTGACCCCATCAATGGATTCCTCGTTCGGAGAGCAATCCATTGGTGGGGTCACACGCTCGGTTCGAGCCCCATTTAGCGACTGTGGAGCTCAAAACGCGTCAGGAGTTTTGGCCGCCTCCACCGGTCTTCTGGCAAATCCACTGTGGGACGGCTTCGCGGCGTCACGTGCCCGGCCTCCATTGTCATGCTAAATGGAGGTGCTGGGATTGAGCAATTAGCGGGGGCCGTCAATAGTTGCGTTGGCGCTTTGACGCCCCGTTGGCACGGCATTTGCCCGGCCCCAGCCCGGCCTCGGGCCAAATCAAGCGCTCGGCTCACGCTCGGCTAACGCTCGGCTAACGCTCGGGGAAGGCCGGGCCTCGGATTGCGCGCGCCAACGTCGTAATGCATGCATGGCCACGGCGTCAGGGCCTCGCCAGGGCCCCCGCGGCCCCCCGCGGCCACGTCGGTTGACTTAGGACGTCGCGCTGCCTCCGGCTGGCTGCCTTTGGCGCCCGACCTAATTGGGCAAACGGGTCAGACAGCTCCGTCTCGCTCGCACTCGTGGGGCTCTCGTCAGGGAGCGAGAGAGACAGGAACACACTGGTGGGAACAGCCGCGCGGCGCAGGAATCGGGAATTCTACCGAATGGCTTGCGGGCAAAGGGGACGACTGCTGTCTCTCTCTCTCGCACACCGACGGAACGCCCCGCGAGTGCGAGAGAGATAGAATGACAGAGACGTGACGCGCGCCAAGTTTAAAGTCGCGTCTCACTGTAATGATATCGAAAGGGCTGCCGTGCTTCGCGACTTGCTTTTGCTTCGCGAGATGCGGGACTGCGGGGCCCTTTCGGCGTCCCGTCCGCCTAACTTAGTTTCGGAACGTCGATGTCCTGGCCTCGCCCGGCCTCGCCTGCTCCTGGAGGCCCCCGCCGTCTCTCTCGCACTCGCGGCGCGTCCGGGAAGGGTGCGAGAGAGACGGCGCGACAAAGGCATCACAGTTCGGAATGAGCTCTCCGGCTCGAGTCGGGTTGCTTTCTGGGGACGTCCGCGCCGCGCCGCGCCGTGACGAGGTTAGCCTCCGTGCAGGCGGCACCGCGCGGCACCGCGCACCGAGTGCTCGCTCTGTCTCTCTCGCACCCCTGCGGGGCGACCCACGGGTGCGAGAGAGACAGAGCGCGACGACAGCACTGTCCCGAATCAGCCTGCACCCGGATCCGACTGTGCACTCGAGCCATTGTGGGGTGAATTCGGCATACGAATCAGTCGGGTTTTCTTGAGACGAGAGAGAGAGAGAGAGAGTGAGAGGAGGGGGAGTGAGTGAGAGGAGGAGAGTGAGGAGGAGTGAGATGAGTAGAGTGAGAGTGAGAGGGGTGAGTGATGAGTGAGGAGTGAGTGAGTGAGTGAGTGAGAGTGAGTGAGTGAGTGAGTGAGTGAGTGAGTGAGTGAGTGAGTGAGTGAGTGAGTGAGTGAGTGAGTGAGTGAGTGAGTGAGTGAGTGAGTGAGTGAGTGAGTGAGTGAGTGAGTGAGTGAGTGAGTGAGTGAGTGAGTGAGTGAGTGAGTGAGAGTGAGTGAGTGAGAGAGTGAGAGAGAGGGAAATCGACTTACCTGCCGTTTTGATCCTCTCGGCGGGCACGGGCTGCCGCGTGGGGTCGGGGATGTGGGTGAGCAGGGCGTTGAAGAACTTGTACAGCTGCAGCACACAAACACACGCCGTCAGACTAACGCAAACTCCAAAGAAAATGAATGGAAATGACAGGGAAGTGGTCGCACCTTGACTTGGTCCTGCTCGCCCTGGTACTCGATGCTCTGGAAGATGGTCCAGGTGTATCGCCGCCGCACCTCCATGCGCGCGAGGTAGCGCCGGTACCACTGCTGGATGAGGATGGCGGCCTTCATGGCTGCGGCGAGGAGAGGCCGAATGAGAGGCAAAGTCGAGTCCCTTAATGCAAAGCAGGGGCGCGGAAAACGGAAGGGAAAAGGACAGCGAGATTGAAAGGCGCGCGAGGATGAAAGAGCTTGGTTGGCTGCACGGCGCGGCCACGCGGCGCGGCCATGCGGCCCCACCCGGACGCGTGTGTTCGAACCGCGAGCCAAACGAGGCGACAAGCGGGGGGCAAGCCGGGGGCAAGCGGATGTCCGCGACGAGGGGGACAAAGCCGCGCGGAAGGACGCCGTCTCTCTCGCACCCCTGCGGGACGCCCCGTGAGTGCGAGAGAGACGGCGCGACGGAAGGATCCCTTCGAAATGAGGCGGCATCGCGTTATCCCATTTCGTCCGTCCGTCCGGCCCGGTTGCCCGGTTCGGCCCGGTCCGGCGCGGTCCGGCGCGGGCCTCGCCGTCTCGCAGTGCAAAGGCCGGCATCGTCGTCGTCGTCCGGGGACAACCTTTCCTTCGGATCCTTTCCAAAAAGGAATTATTTATTATTCCTCGCAGGGCCCTGCCCTGCCTGGCGTGGAGCGGCGCGGCCCTTCGGCGTGATGAGGTTCGAAAGGGCAGCCCTAACGACGCAGGAAAGGGCGGCAGGGCCAAAGGGCCGGCCACGTCCACTGGTCAACCCTTCCGCCCTGATCACACAGTGTCACCGAGTCCACACAGTGGCCCAGCCAAGGGCCCAGGGCCCAGCGGCCCAGCGGCCCAGCGGCCCAGACAGTGGAGGAGACTCTCTGATTCTGTTGTCCGCCTGCCGGCCGCCGCCATCACCCGCCGGCCATCAACTTCCTCAACTTGCTCCCTTCCTCCTGGCCGGAGCGCCTGATTGCTGCGAAATTGGTTTTTTGTTGTCACTTTGACTTGGTTTCCCGTTCCTGCCCCTTGTTTCTGAGTTTTAATCACCCGGAGGCTGCCCGTCCCGTCCCCTTTCATAATTGCGTAACCAGTCTTGATGCGGGGTGGGGTGGGGGTAGGAAGTATTGCGACTTTAGCTGCACTTACTTCGCTCCACCTTGGGCATGGAGCAGTCCTGGTGGCTCTTGGAGCGCGCCTTCCATCCCCGCAGCAGGTTGGCCGGCGACAGGGAGTTGAGGAAGGCGGCCAGGACGCCGTGCTTGTGCTCCACCACCTCCATGCTGCCGCTCTCCCGGCCCTCCCCCCCGCGGCCGCCCCGAGGCGCGCTCTCCGCCGGCCCTGCAACAACCGGGCACTGGTCACCACCTTCGTTCGTTCCCTAGCGAGAGAGAGAGAGAGAAATGACGCTGCACAGTGAGGAAAAAAAACGTGCGAAAGAGAGAGACATAGAACTAACTGACGGGCCGAAATGCTGGTCTCGGTCAGTTTCATGCAGGTTTGAATCTACTTATGTATGAAACACTGAAGGAAAGAATGCACACAATAATACATGCACAACAATTCAACACAAAAACGAACAACAAACAAACTAACAAACGACAACAATCACAAAAATTAACATATCATGAACAGGCACACATGCACAAGCTGACAAACAACAAGTGGCGACAGAGAACGCAAACAACAGACGCGTCCAAAATACGAAAACACCGAGACGGCGTAGCGCACATCGAAAAGTAAACAATTACTGCGCCTACAGTAGTAACAACGACAGAGATACGCCCCGGCGAATAATAGAAATAGAGAACGGATAAAGGTTGTCCAGAAAGAGTGTACCTGGCACCGAACTGTCTGAATTGCTGGACGCGTCATCCTCCGTCCAACTGAGTCCCGTCTTGTTGCCGCGTACGCAGGAGCACACGCGCGCGCAGCCAGACGGCATCTGCAGACCACCAGCAACCAGTGAGACAAGGCGGGCGAGGACTTCCCCTTCCCGTTCGTCGCAATGAGCCGCGATGAGCTACCTCGCAAGTTTTACCGCCATGTGACTTTCGCGATCGGTTTGCTTAGGGCAGTGGCATGCGCGTCTCTTGCGCAACCAGGCGGATCAAACAAACAAACACAAAACACCACAACAAAGCTTGTTCGCTACATTTCATTACTGTGTCAGTTGCGAGTGTTACAGAGATAAACTTGCAAAATTTGTTAGTCCACGTTGTTTGTAAAGACACACACACACGCGCGCACACACAAACACGATTGGACCTCTGCTCTTGCTGCGCGCCCTCTGGTGCACGCGTCGTCGTGGGGCCGACGGTGCGCGCGGAGCGGGGGTGGGGGCACGCCGCGGCATCGCCGCCACCTGGACAAGGAAAGCGAGCGGGTGTAGGCGCAGTCATCCCTGCACGCCCTCCACGCCGGCGTCCTCCACGCCGGCGTCCTCCACGTCGGGGTGTTGGCATCGCACGCAGCTGTCCGCTGGCGTTCTCACTTCGCGCTGCCGCTGCAGGAGACTAAATGGAATGACTCGCGGCCACGGCGGCGCGGACCACATTTAAATTGCTAATGGATTTCTTTCCACATTAATGCCCGGTTAGCTTTAGAGATGATCCGGCCTGGCGCGCTGGCGCGGGCAGGGTCACACCTTTGGGGTGGACACCGCCAACGCGGCGCCGCCCCACGCCCCCACTTCACACCCCAGGCCGCGCAGGCCGCGCAGGCCGCGCAGGCCCGCACTGTAAAAAATTTCGAGGGTAAATTTACAAATCTGGACCGCGCAACGCTTGTCAACGGTCCATGGCTTGGCGAATTCACGCATCTCATTAGAGGGTAAAAGTAACCCTACATGACTGGGGAAAAAATGCTAAACTGTGTAAGAGCAAATTCGCGCATACATGACTTGAAAATGTGACTTTGCCGATCCACGGGGGTTAATTTGTCCTTTTGATGTGTAAATTATGTTTTCTCGATCCACGGGGGTAAATTTGTCCTTTTGGTGTGAAAACTATGTTAGGTGGGTTCGCGGGGGGCAAAATTGAAATTTTACACGATCACGAGGCCAAGGGTATGCATGAGAGTGATGGGAGAGAACAACTGTACCTCAGAGTACATCCCACGTGATGAAATCCATTTAGTCTGAAGTGATGGGCCCGCGTCTCGAACCATGATCCTCTCGCTCCGGACTCCGCACCGCATCTCATTGCGCCGCGACGCTTGCCTGCGAAGGTCGGGAGAGGCGCGGTACTAGACCGGCCCGCCGTCAGCCTATCCAACCTGGTCCGCGCGTGCCCCCTTGGATCGAGGAAGATGTTTCACTCATCCAAACGCAGAAATTCACCGCGTCCACACGAGCGTAAATTTACCCCCCTGGATCGAGAAAGATATTTCACACATCCAAACGCAGATATTCACCGCGTCCACGCGTGCGTAAATTTACCCCCTTGGATCGAGGAAGATGTTTCGCACATCCAAACGCAGATATTCACAGCGTAATGGAATGAGTGATTTTACTATCATGAACGTGAATAAGAACTTACCTATCCACAGAGTAAATTTACTTATTCAATGGCAATGCAAATTTCCCGGATGGACACGTAAACACTTTGTCTCCATACATGTATCGGCGGAAGCGTATACCCTGACCACGAGGAGAAATTTACTCCGGAATGGGAAGACATATTTACCACTGATTTTTTACAGTGCGTCCGCCGCGCGACTTTTCGCGTAGCAGGTGTGCAGGAGAGGCGCGGTGGGCGCGGCGGACTGACACTGTTCCCACAGAGTGGGGGTTGTAATTGGATTTAGTAGTAGACGGTGTCACCACGGCGAGGGCGGTGGCTGGCGGGGCGGAGGGGTCCTGAGACGAAGCCCCACCGAGGAGAAGGCCAAGGGTAGCGCCAGCCACGCCGCGCCACGCCGCGTCACGGGCCGACGGGGGCCTCGGTCTGCAGGGCGCGGCGGGGCCTTGGCGGCCGGGCGACACGGCGTGCCGCGGACCAGCCAAATGAAAGCAGAGGCTCCACCGCTCCGCCGGGCAGGGGCTCCGCAAAGTCCGCCGCCGGCGCGCCGCTCTCCGCGAAGCCCGAGAAAGCCTAGATAATGCCCCGGCCGCCGCGACCCTGCAGGCCCGGCCCGCTCCGCCCGCCTTCAGTCTTTTTCTAATATTTCACCGCCACGTCTGCCCTGGCCTCCCCCCTCCCCCACTCCCCGGCCGCCAGGTGCGTGCGCGAGGCGTGAGCGGAGGCGCCATCCAGCCCTCTCCCCGCCGCGGCACTGCCGCCCTGGGCACCGGCCGGGCCGCCCCCGCCCCGCCTCAAACTTTTGGCGGCACAAGACAGACAAACTCGCCCAGTATTATTTCGCTGTCGGGGAGACGCTCCGCGCTCCGCGCTCAGTTCGCTCGCCTCGCCCGACTCACGCCTCGCGTCAAAGCCGCGAGCCTCGGGGCGCAGCGCGCGGCGCCTTCCAGCCCTTCTCCCACACTGCCGCGCCGCCGCGCCACGCGGTTGCCGTTCGAACCGCAACCTCCAGGCAACCGCCACACCGCGCCTTGCGTGCCAAGTCCCATTCGTTTATTCATTTGCCGGTACGCCGTGATTAATATCGGCTGGCTGAGCTCCAACTTGCCGGCCGTGGGGTCCCCGTCGTCCCCGTCGCACAGCGCCCTTGCTCCCGGAGGCCCCAGGTGTCGGCCACCCTGTCGGTCCCCGGCAGGCCGAAGGCCTCGCCGAGCGTGCCGAGCACACTGTAGTCTTCAAAGGAGCAGCCACGGCGCAGCCCCGAGCACCGCGCGGAACGCGGAAAACGGCTTCTTGCCACTTGTTTTATTTTTTGTCCGCGTTTATCTTCGTGCGCGCGACGGCGTCCTGTCGTCTTGTCGTCCGCGCTGCCTCTGTGTTGCGCGGGCGGCGCTGTGGGCGGCGTGCCGCTCGGCGTGCCGCGGCACTCGAGGGCCACCCAGACAATCCGCTGGCGCTCCCCGCCTCCACCGCCGCCGCCGCCGCTGCTGCCGCCACCGCCAAGCGGCGCTCATTTATTTACGTTCGGCACTGCGCGCCCCGCCTGCCTGGCCCGGGCCCCGCGGGCTGCCGGCGGGATTAGGACGAGCAACGTGATCAGCAGGCTCGACTTTCGTTTTTAATTAATTGATCGGTTCGGGGACCGGGGCCGTGCCGGGGCGCGGCGATGGCAGCAGCAGAGCAGCCCGGCGGATGGAAGCATCGCCGGGGACGCGGACAGCAGCCCGTCAAGCTCGCCAAACATTTGCGTTCTTTGGTGGAGAGAAGGGTGGGAAATCCTCTGAGTGGCTGCGCCGTTGCCGCAAACCACGGACGCCCCGCGGACGACCCACTGGATGGCGATCCGCGAAACGCGGAGTGGCCGCGCCGGTCGACGCCGGACGCCGCCGTGACCGACGCGCAGATGGGCCGCGTGGAGCGCCCGCGAACGACTGGGTAGGCAACCCGGCCGACCCTCACGCGCGGCGGGCGCGGCGCGTTGAGGCTGAGACGGGCTGAGAGCCCCGCCACCGCTCGCAACTCGCACCACGCACCTCACCTGGACCCGCCGCTGTTTTGTTTTTGCTGTCAACTCTACGTTGTTTTCCTTTCTCTCTATGGCGGTGCGGGAAGACGGATGTGCGACCGCTCACCGTGTGTCAGTGTGACAGACGCCTCAGACGTCACGGACGGACGTCGCGGAGGTGCAACTAGTAGTAACTCGAAACTAAGTCGGACACGTGGTGTGCGGTGCAGTCCCGGGCCGAGTACCTGCAACAAGGACATGACAAGCGGGGCGTGAGCACCAGCCGCGAGCATACCGGCACAACAACAACAACAACAACATTCGCAGCAACAACGGGGCCATCACGACGGGGACAGGCTCACTGGGCGGTAGGTGGCAACTTCCGTCACGTATAACGCGTATAACACACGGCGTGCGACGCTTGACACGAAACATGGCGGCGTGTGTGTGTGTGTGCGTGCGTGTGTGTGTGCGTGCGGCCACTCCCCCGCGGCGCAGCGTGACACGTGCGTGATTGGCGCACGGCGGCGATAAGGCCCCCGCGTCGTTGTCGCCGCGGTCGCGTTGTGCGTGTGTGTGTGTGTGTGTGTGTGTGTGTGTGTGTGTGTGTGTGGACAGGGCGGCGAAGCCTGGCCGAACACGCGGTCATAGGGTCATGGTCGTGGGGGTCATGGTCGTGGGGCGATACCAGTGACAGGGGTGTCGAAGTTTGTTGCGGTGCGCAGCGGGGCGCCGCGTGCTCGGGGAGACCGCCCAGACCGACTCCCAGGCGTAAAAGCCTTCTCTTGAACTAATTAAGAAAATTTATTCAGGTGAGTTGAGTTTAACCGTTCGCTTTATGAAGTTTAAAAGTGTTGTGGTTCAAGGAAACGGACCTTTTTGGGTGCGGGTGCCGACGGGGTCCTGCAGGACGTCCCGGCGGCCCGGCCTCTGAACGGGCGTCACGCCTTCAGACAGACAGCCCGCCGCCAAGCCTCAGCCAGACCGGTCCCTCTCGCACCCTTCCGGGACGCCCTGGGTGCGAGAGAGACAGCCTGCTGGTGGACAGGGTTGAAATTGGCACGCCCCCACACGCACGCACACGCGCGCGGTAAGCCGTCGCGCTAGCGACCTCGCAGGGACCCGGGGGGCTCAAAGGGACAAGGGGGCCCTCTTGGTCCCCAAGGGGGCGGGCCAGGGCGGACCAGGGCGGCGGCTCTTGGCCCCGGCGCTTAAGATCCTCTGCATTAGCATGGGCCAAAATTACGCAAATCTCTCTTCCCCCTCCTCCCTCTCTCTGTCTCTCCAGACCGATGCAAAGCACCCACACGCCCGCCACTCAAACTGCGCTCAGTTGCTTACTGACGCACACAGGCGCACGGGTGAACACACACACACACATATATTCAAATACACCTACACGGCTAGCTCCTTCCGCGCGTGCCAGGTCGTTCCCCGGTTTGCCCCTGCAGGCCTGCAGGGTGGGCGTCCAAACATACCCCGGTGTGTATTCAGGCGTAGCTAAGGGGCTGGCCTGGCGGCCTGGCGGCCTAGCATAGCGGGCATGCCCGCGGGCTGGGCCGAGGCCGGGGCGCCCTAGACCGCCCTAGGCCGCCCTGCCCACTCGCCTCGTTCATCCCGCGTCGGCAGTCGTATTTGGCGAGGCATTTGGCCGGGCAAGCTGGGACCCTGGAATCTCGACCGTTTCCTCCATAAACGTCCTTGAGCCAACGATTTCCGTATATCGATCCGAAAATGTTGGAGTCGAAATACTTCGTCATCGCGACGAGGGTTCCACCGCGTTCGACGCGATGCCTTGCGGGGCGGGCCGCGGTGCCGCGGTCTGGACGGTGTGGTGTAATACAGCCTCCTCAGAACACGTAAACACGCCAGGTGAAGGTCGGCGAGCCAGTCTCGCGAAATGTTGCGCAATACAGTGTGACGGACTGCGACGCCGCTAAATAGAATAGCATAGCGAGTACGAGAGAGAGCGGCAGAAGGACAGACGGAGATGGTCGCGGACCAGCCTGGCTCATTATGGGGAGGAAGTGGCGCTCCAGCCTGCAGCGCGTCGAGAGCCTCGTTGTACACGCCCCCCCCCCCCCCCCCGCCCCGCCCCGAGCGTCCCGGCACACCTTTGGAACACCTTGGCTCGCCTTGGCTGCTGCAGCGTGGTGCGCCGCGCGGGGGAGCAGTTTATCAGTGCCTATCTTATCACGGCCCCAGCCCTCTCTCTCTCTCTCTTTCTCTTTCTTTCTCTCTCGTTTCACTTTTCCCCTTCGCGTCCATTCCGTGGCCCCACTACTCTCTCTCTCCTCCGCCCCCCTGGTCGCTGCGATACTGACACCGCACCTCTTAACCCCCCCGCCCCTCTCCTGGCCCGCCCCCAGTTTCAATTTGTAACCCACCACGGCCCCGAGTGAATTAATGCCAAACGTGGTCGCGCACCCCGTACTTGGGAGCCTTCGACCGCCGCTCCCTTACCCCCTCCCTAACCGCCCTAACGAGTGCACCCCCGAGGGCTATCGCCGTGCCCCCCCCCCCCCTCTCGCGATGAGCCATCGGCTCCAGTGACGGGGCACAGCCACAGCTTTTTCATGCAAGAAAAAAAAAGTTAAAAGCAGAATTCCCTCCTTCTGCTAATTTTTATTCTCTCTCGCCCTGCCTGCCCAATGAGTAATGAGCCGGCGCACTTTCGCAAGCCACGCCTCCCGATGACGTTGTAGGGGAAAGCACGAAGCAGGAGAAGGAGAAGGAGGATCGCAAGATGGAAATTGACGACCAACTCCGACGACGCCTGAACTGTGTTCGCGGCGCAAACTACGGATGACTACAACTTCGTCTGATTTGTGACTGCCTGCGTGCACTCGTCACCGCGCCGCAACGCGCATCACGCGTGGATAGGCCTGTGCGATTATTGTCCAAAATCGAAATCGACCGATTATTGAAATAATCGAAAAGCCGACCGATACGATGCTTGGTAATCGGCAATCGAAACAAGGCCGATTAATCGACGAAAACCGATTAATCGAATTATCAATAATCGAACATTAGCGATTAATCGCCCTCAATCAATTGTTTCTTGCCCAATAAATTGAATAAAACTGAAAAGAAATAGTATTCGTAGAGCGTAAACATGGTCCACAGTTAACGTTTTTCAAGTACAGTGCAAGATTGTCAGGTCTTCTGTTTTGTAAACAACAATGAATGTAATCAATAACCGTTTCAAAATTATTAATCGGTTGAAAATCGGCCACCGATTTTTAATCGTCAAAAGTTCGATTACCGAGCATCGAATCGGTCCACAAAAATAATCGTCGATTACTAAAATAATCGGAAATCGATTTCGATTATTCGATTAATCGCACAGGCCTACGCATGGATGCCATCCATCTCTCTCTCTCTCTCTCTCTCTCTCTCTCTCTCTCTCTCTCTCTCTCTCTCTCTCTCTCCCCTCACTGAGCATGATAGATCGACAAGGCCCATAACTAGCTGCATGTAGTGTCAGGACGTGCGCGGGCGCGTCGCTTGCGGCGCCAATGTGTGTGTGTGTGCTGAGCTCCGTGAAAAGGGGAAGGGGGTGTGTGTGCACAAACGCAACTATACCTTGCGGCACATAGCTCTTTGTAGCGAAGAAAGTGGAAAGAAAGAGACCGAGAGAAAGAGGAGAGAGAGAGGGTGGAAGAAGGGGGGTGATAACGGGTGATAACTTGGCCAAAAAAAGGCAAACAAAAGGAACCCGCACTGCAATCACAAGCACTGCCACTGTCCTTCCTCTGTGTGTGTGTGTGTGTGTGTGTGTGTGTGTGTGTGTGTGTGTGTGTGTGTGTGCGTAAGAGTGCTGCGCGTGAACGGCGCGCAATGTGGGAGACATCTGATTCTGGGCAGCCAGGACGCGGTTGTTGATCCAAACGAGGGGGCAAAAACTCGCGCAATCATGTGTACACGGCCCCCGAAATCACATGCGAATCATTGAGAATCACGCGAAATCAAGCAACCCGAAATCAAGGGGAAACTACTTCGAAAAAATGTGTACACCTAATGCAAATTCAAAAAATATTCAACAAAATTCAAAAAATTCAGTGAAATTCATAAAATTAAAAAATTCACCAAAATTCTTTGAAATTCATCAAAATTTTTAAAAATTCACTGAAATTCATAAAATTCATTGCATTTGCTCCCTCGACGGGCAATTGGTCTTTGGACCTTCCTTTAGCATGCCTTTGTTACGGAGTGCAATTATCAGTCTTAGTTTGGGAGCAGTATTGTCTCAAAGTTGGCCGAAACGATCAGAAATGTCTATGAAAAATCGTGTTTTGGGCCGATTTTAAGCAGCCACTGCGTCTGATCCAAGGCGGGCATTTTGCTCCCTCAACGGGCAGTTGGTCTTTAGACCTTCCTTTAGCATGCCTCTGTTACGGAGTGCGATTATCAGTCTTAGTTTGGGAGCAGTATTGTCTCAAAGTTGGCCGAAACGGTCAACAGTGTCTTTGAAAAATCGTGTTTTGGGCCGATTTTAAGCAGCCACTGCGTCTGATCCGAGGCGGGCATTTTGCTCCCTCAACGGGCAGTTGGTCTTTGGACCTTCCTTTAGCATGCCTTTGTTACGGAGTGCAATTATCAGTCTTAGTTTGGAAGCAGTATTGTCTCAAAGTTGGCCGAAACGCTCAGAAATGTCTATGAAAAATCGTGTTTTGGGCCGATTTTAAGCAGCCACTGCGTTTGATCCGAGGCGGGCATTTTGCTCCCTCAACGGGCAGTTGGTCTTTGGACCTTCCTTTAGCATGCCTTTGTTACGGAGTGCGATTATCAGTCTTAGTTTGGGAGCAGTATTGTCTCAAAGTTGACCAAAATAGTCACAACGATTTTTCAAAGACACTTGCGACCGTTTTGATCGACTTTGAGACAATACTGCTCCCAAACCAAGACTGACAATCGCACTCCGTAACAAAGGCATGCTAAAGGAAGGTCCAAAGACCAATTGCCCGTCGAGGGAGCAAAATGCCCGCCTCGGATCAGACGCAGTGGCTGCTTAAAATCGGCCCAAAACACGATTTTTCATAGACATTTCTGAGCGTTTTGGCCAACTTTGAGACAATACTGCTCCCAAACTAAGACTGATAATTGCACTCCGTAACAAAGGCATGCTAAAGGAAGGTCCAAAGACCAATTGCCCGTCGAGGGAACAAAATGCCCGCCTCGGATCAGACGCAGTGGCTGCTTAAAATCGGCCCAAAACACGATTTTTCATAGACATTTC